AGTTTTCAAATTCACCTATATATATTGTATTCTTTTTAAAACCTAGTGACTCCGAATTCAAGTTTTATAGCACGTACAAACCTATAATCCTTCCTTGCTTTCAACAAATTGAATAGATATGGAGAAAGGTTCATTCAAGTCAGCTTTCCTCATTGTGCTCTTTCTTGTTTCATATGATGGTAAAATACTTCTCTCAATTTTTATTTTTGTTACGATGAAAGAGAAATTTATTCTTGACATACTATAATCCGAACATTAATCCTAACAACCTAGGCTAACCTGAAGGGCCGACTTCTTTGAACAATACAACTGCATATGGGAATTATTTTCTCCAACGTGGTTGACTTAACTTATTTTTAAAATATGTATATGTCGTTGATACATCGTTAAAATTATACACTTTAACCTAACAATTGTCGATATTTTCAGCCATAAAGTCGAGTTTAAGTGTATATTTTTGTAACGTCAACTTATGCATAAAGCAGTATGTTCGCAATAAAGGCAAAAAACAGTTTTATTATTAATTATTGAAATATTAATTGTGGTAGGTGTGCAATTCGGAGTAGAAGCAAGAGGACCAGTTGTTCGTTATCCGTGCAACGAATCTGCTCCATGCCCCTCATTTTGCTCATGCGTCGAGAATTGGTGTAAGTGTCCGCCAGCTAAAATATTGAAGTTCATTCCTCAAGACATCTCTACACACCCGCAAGCACAGAAGGAAATGCCATAATCAGTGCTACTTGATACATCAATATATATCATATACTTTTGACGTGCACCAAAAATCTTATGTTCTCCCAATATGTTCGTTAAATGTTTGAATGGATAATAAATAACATCACCTTCTTACTTATAGTTTACTTGGTTTGAATTTCTTTTCATAATACTGTGACGATAAAGGTGTGGTACACAAGCGAACAGTGAAGTGATTCTAAATTACCGAAGACAACGAAAAAATTCATTGAAATAGTGTAACACCTAACAATTTTCGCTAATTTGGCGATAACCAGAAATTCTAAGGTTTATAAGAAATAGTCTTCTGCTCTCAAACCGTTGTAGTAAATACGGAAAATATAAGTGGCGGTCCTAAATGACGTCTTTTAATCACTCGAAAGACAGATAAATTTGTACATATGAGGATTACAAAGAAGTTAACTAATATGAAGTTATTGTATATTTTAGTCTCAAGCACGTAGTTATGAATCTCAAAACAAGAAAATATTACTCATTTATTTAGTGTGTTCTAAAGATTATTATTTCTTACTAGTTTAGTGTTCGATCCACCGAATTACACGAAAGACTTAAATTTATAAATAAATAAAACATTACCTCTTTTGTTGTCATTTTTATTTTATTTTATCACCACATAACTTTGTAAAAAAAAAAAAAAAAAAAAAAAAAAACTCTCTTCTCATACAAAAAATTGGTAAACAAGTTCGGCCACGTAGCGTTTTTGTATTTAAAAAAATACAACATCAAGATCCATTAATTCGACAACATACTGGGATTTGATTCAGGCCTTAGTTTCAATGAGATAATATTGAGAAATCTAAATTCCGATCTACCGTGGTTTCATCATGGATTTACTAAAATTCATACTTATGTACCAACAAACAACGCCGAGCTTAGAGTTATATATACTTTAATTGCAAATTGTACTCGTTTAGGTTGCCGATTTATTTATGGCATGAAACATAATATGTCAATTTAGTTACCGTTTTGTTCAACAAATTAATCTATGAAGAAAATCCTTTCAGGAATACACAATTTATTGGATTTACACTTATGTACACATGTACGAGTGAAGAATAAGTTACATATAATCGTTGGTTTGGTAACTTAGAAACTAAGTTATATTGTTTCAATAATTTAAAGCCACTAATTATATAAGAAATAAAAACGCAATCTTATTATGCCAATTTATTTACCATTATTGTTCGATACATTGATTTTTTTTATATAGAAAATCCATACATGAACAATTATTTGAATCCAATGCGTTCATCATGGAGTTGCTTAAAGTCATACTTTTGTACAGCAAATAACGCCAATAATAAAATATACATACTTTGAATTTAGGACGTATTCGTTTTGGCTTGAAAACTAATATGCTAATTTAGTTACCATTCTGGTGGAACAATAAATTCACCTCTTAAAATAATATTTCTTTCATGAATGCACTATTTATTTAACTTATCATTTTCTACATATGCATTTATAAAAAATAAGTTACATATAATCTTAGGTTTGGAGAGCACAAATAAGTCAGAAATTAAGCTATATAGCTTGAATATGCACCTAATTATGCCAGGCATTAAATCGCAATCTTATTATGATAACTTTTTTACCATAACAGTTCGATAAATTGATTTGTTTACAAAATTCATGCATGACCAATTCGTTGACTCCAAGCTCACCGAAGTGTGCAATCATAGAAAATAGTTTTCAAATTCACCTATATATATTGTATTCTTTTTAAAACCTAGTGACTCCGAATTCAAGTTTTATAGCACGTACAAACCTATAATCCTTCCTTGCTTTCAACAAATTGAATAGATATGGAGAAAGGTTCATTCAAGTCAGCTTTCCTCATTGTGCTCTTTCTTGTTTCATATGATGGTAAAATACTTCTCTCAATTTTTATTTTTGTTACGATGAAAGAGAAATTTATTCTTGACATACTATAATCCGAACATTAATCCTAACAACCTAGGCTAACCTGAAGGGCCGACTTCTTTGAACAATACAACTGCATATGGGAATTATTTTCTCCAACGTGGTTGACTTAACTTATTTTTAAAATATGTATATGTCGTTGATACATCGTTAAAATTATACACTTTAACCTAACAATTGTCGATATTTTCAGCCATAAAGTCGAGTTTAAGTGTATATTTTTGTAACGTCAACTTATGCATAAAGCAGTATGTTCGCAATAAAGGCAAAAACATTTTTATATTATTAATTATTGAAATATTAATTGTGGTAGGTGTGCATCGGAGTAGAAGCAAGAGGACCAGTTTTTCGTTATCTGTGCAACGAACTGCTCCATGCCCCTCATTTTGCTCATGCGTCGAGAATTGGTTTAAGTGTTCCGCCAGCTAAAATATTGAAGTTCATTCCTCAAGACATCTCTACACACCCGCAAAGCACAGAAGGAAAGGCATATAATCAATGGCTACTTGATACATCATATATATCATATACTTTTGACGTGCACCAAAAATCTTATGTTCTCCCAATATGTTCGTTAAATGTTTGAATGGATAATAAATAACATCACCTTCTTACTTATAGTTTTACTTGGTTTGAATTTCTTTTCATATACTGTGTGACGATAAAGGTGTGGTACACAAGCGAACAGTGAAGTGATTCTAAATTACCGAAGACAACGAAAAAAATTCATTGAAATAGTGTAACACCTAACCATTTTTTCGCTAATTTGGCGATAACCAGAAATTTCTAAGGTTTATAAGAAATAGTCTTCTGCTCTCAAACCGTTGTAGTAAATACGGAAAATATAAGTGGCGGTCCTAAATGACGTCTTTTAATCACTCGAAAGACAGATAAATTTGTACATATGAGGATTACAAAGAAGTTAACTAATATGAAGTTATTGTATATTTTAGTCTCAAGCACGTAGTTATGAATCTCAAAACAAGAAAATATTACTCATTTATTTAGTGTGTTCTAAAGATTATTATTTCTTAATAGTTTAGTGTTCGGTGGGATCCACCGAATTACACGAAAGACTTAAATTTATAAATAAATAAAACATTACCTCTTTTGTTGTCATTTTTATTTTATTTTATCACCACATAACTTTGTTTAAAAAAAAAAAACCACTATCTCTTTCTCACACAAAAAATTGGTAAACAAGTTCGGCCACGTAGCGTTTTTGTATTTAAAAAAATACAACATCAAGATCCATTAATTCGACAACATACTGGGATTTGATTCAGGCCTTAGTTTCAATGAGATAATATTGAGAAATCTAAATTCCGATCTACCGTGGTTTCATCATGGATTTACTAAAATTCATACTTATGTACCAACAAACAACGCCGAGCTTAGAGTTATATATACTTTAATTGCAAATTGTACTCGTTTAGGTTGCCGAGTTATTTATGGCATGAAACATAATATGTCAATTTAGTTACCGTTTTGTTCAACAAATTAATCTATGAAGAAAATCCTTTCATGAATACACAATTTATTGGATTTACACTTATGTACACATGTACATGTGAAGAATAAGTTACATATAATCGTCGGTTTGGTAACTTAGAAACTAAGTTATATTGTTTCAATAATTTAAAGCCACTAATTATATAAGGAATAAAATCGCAATCTTATTATGCCAATTTATTTACCATTATTGTTCGATACATTGATTTTTTTATATAGAAAATCCATACATGAACAATTATTTGAATCCAATGCGTTCATCATGGAGTTGCTTAAAGTCATACTTTTGTACAGCAAATAACGCCAATAATAAAATATACATACTTTGAATTTAGGACGTATCGTTTTGGCTTGAAACCTAATATTCTAATTAGTTACCATTCTGGTGGAACAATAAATTCACCTCTTAAAATAATATTTCTTTCATGAATGCACAATTTATTTAACTTATCATTTTCTACATATGCATTTACAAAAAATAAGTTACATATAATCTTAGGTTTGGAGAGCACAAATAAGTCAGAAATTAAGCTATATAGCTTGAATATGCACCTAATTATGCCAGGCATTAAATCGCAATCTTATTATGATAACTTTTTTACCATAACAGTTCGATAAATTGATTTGTTTACAAAATTCATGCATGACCAATTCGTTGACTCCAAGCTCACCGAAGTGTGCAATCATAGAAAATAGTTTTCAAATTCACCTATATATATTGTATTCTTTTTAAAACCTAGTGACTCCGAATTCAAGTTTTATAGCACGTACAAACCTATAATCCTTCCTTGCTTTCAACAAATTGAATAGATATGGAGAAAGGTTCATTCAAGTCAGCTTTCCTCATTGTGCTCTTTCTTGTTTCATATGATGGTAAAATACTTCTCTCAATTTTTATTTTTGTTACGATGAAAGAGAAATTTATTCTTGACATACTATAATCCGAACATTAATCCTAACAACCTAGGCTAACCTGAAGGGCCGACTTCTTTGAACAATACAACTGCATATGGGAATTATTTTCTCCAACGTGGTTGACTTAACTTATTTTTAAAATATGTATATGTCGTTGATACATCGTTAAAATTATACACTTTAACCTAACAATTGTCGATATTTTCAGCCATAAAGTCGAGTTTAAGTGTATATTTTTGTAACGTCAACTTATGCATAAAGCAGTATGTTCGCAATAAAGGCAAAAAACAGTTTTATTATTAATTATTGAAATATTAATTGTGGTAGGTGTGCAATTCGGAGTAGAAGCAAGAGGACCAGTTGTTCGTTATCCGTGCAACGAATCTGCTCCATGCCCCTCATTTTGCTCATGCGTCGAGAATTGGTGTAAGTGTCCGCCAGCTAAAATATTGAAGTTCATTCCTCAAGACATCTCTACACACCCGCAAGCACAGAAGGAAATGCCATAATCAGTGCTACTTGATTTTTTTTTTTTTTTTTTTTTTTTTTTTTTTTTTTTTTTTTTTTTTTTTTTTTTTTTTTTTTTTTTTTTTTTTTTTTTTTTTTTTTTTTTTTTTTTTTTTTTTTTTTTTTTTTTTTTTTTTTTTTTTTTTTTTTTTTTTTTTTTTTTTTTTTTTTTTTTTTTTTTTTTTTTTTTTTTTTTTTTTTTTTTTTTTTTTTTTTTTTTTTTTTTTTTTTTTTTTTTTTTTTTTTTTTTTTTTTTTTTTTTTTTTTTTTTTTTTTTTTTTTTTTTTTTTTTTTTTTTTTTTTTTTTTTTTTTTTTTTTTTTTTTTTTTTTTTTTTTTTTTTTTTTTTTTTTTTTTTTTTTTTTTTTTTTTTTTTTTTTTTTTTTTTTTTTTTTTTTTTTTTTTTTTCTCTCTCTAATTTTTATTTTTGTTACAATGAAAGAGAAATTTATTCTTGACATACTATAATTCGAACAAAAAGCCTCTAGAATTCTTTCCTTACTTTTATCTTCTTCTGTTTTGCAAAACATGTTCTTTAAAAAGAAAAAGAAAATAGACAAGCAAACTTCCCTTTTAAAAGCTAAGCCTTTCAGAAGTAACCATGCCAAGCAAAGTTACTTGGATGGGGTCCCGAACCATCAACAAGCATCACGCTTAAGCAAAAAAATATAGCATAAGGCACGAGAAAACCGATCTATTACAAAGAAGCACGCAATCTTGAGGTGCTGGAACAACATCTGGGAGTTTTATAAAACCTTGGTAAGAATCATGCACATGTTAGTCTGGCCCTTTTTAAGAAAGGCCAGAAGTTGCTTTTCAAACCCAGAGGCTAGATAAACCATGCAAAAGAAACTTTAGAAATTCCGCTCCTGTCGAAATTTTGGCAGCATATACCTTGTTTTTAAGGATATCCAACCTATCAGAAAATCTCAAACAGTTCACAAAGATGAATTTTGCCAACCAAGCTATATATATATATATATATATATATATATATATGAGACATGGGAATTACAACCTGCCTTCAGCATTCAAAAAATTAATACAAGCTTCAGTGGTTCAATGCCAAATGACAAAGTCATAACAACGTAGTCGTTAGAATGTCAAAAGAAAAAAAAAACTACAGTCAAAGCACGATAAAACTATACATGCTAAAGATCCATACATCCTATAATCTCAAAGGAAACAGAACCATGCGATGATTTCATGCTATGAGTAACACCGCCATCAAAGAAGGCTTTGAACGCCATGAAGGAATTCTCCCAATCTTGCCAAGACATGCTTTTCTCCGATAAATGCCCCACGGAGGTGGAAGCATCACCGTCCTTATGGATGTCATCAATAATCTCACCACGAGGGGGGCACTGCGGGAAGCTGCGAAGAGGTGCAGGCAGCTATGTCGGGTTTGCCCAGGTAAGGAGAAGTTGGAGGCAGCACTGCTAGAAACTGTGGAGAGGTGCCAGCAGCTATGTCGGGTGTGCCCAGGCAAGGAGAAGTTGGAGGCAGCACTGCTGGAAACTGTGGAGAGGTGTCGGCAGCTATGTCGGGTGTGCCCAGGCAAGGAGAAGTTAGGGACAGCGCTGCGGGAAGCTGCGAAGAGGTGCCGGCAACTGTATCAGGTGTCCCAATGGGAGGGGAAGGAAGCGTACCTTCCGCCCCTTGTGAGATGCTCTTGATCTAAAAGAAAAGAAGGAGTTCAAACAAATATGCAATTTCTGACCCAAGTTCGTGACAAGCAAAGTTCTCATCCTGTGAGTCAATAAGCATGACAAGCAAGTTCTCTTTCGGAACAAAAATCAAGCATTGCAAGACATGCATTCTTACTTCTCACAATCGAGAACAAAGTCTACAATTAATCAAGCATATGTTCACAAGGGGAGTAAGCCTAGGCCATGCACCAGTCTATGCTTATTCCTGGAACATTCAAATTGGCGGAGTTACTTACCAAAAGATTAAAGGAGAAGCCCCAAATATCCAAGTTAGAAGGTTGGAGGATTTGAAGGTTCCAGTAGCAGAAACGTCAAGGTTTCCAGCACCTGCCCCACCTATGCCTGAGACGTGTGCACCTGCACACACACACACAAAAAAAAGAGGTGCCAGAAGCATATTTTCTTCAATTCTTCCAGCTCCTACTGTACAAGCAAAGAATTTCTGGCACTTACCTTATTTGAAATCTTCTTAGCCCCTGTCCTATTTCAAACATCATGCTAGTGTATATGCTCATTAACCCCCAAAGCTCAATTTATCCTTGCAACAATTCGACAAACTCATTACATCCGTGAAAGTAACCAAAAACTCACCTTTATTCTATCAAGGTCCCAGCAAATCAGTAAGAAAATGACATTCCTCATGCTTTGGAACCTCTCAATCAAGCCTGAAAAAGAAGCAAGGGAGTACGTTGACCAGATTAGGCACTGAAAGGGAACTAGTAAACAAAAAGGGGGTGCCGGAAGTAGAATCGCTATTAAAGCATAATGTTTTCCAAAGACAAGTTGCAAGAAGCCAAGACTCACTTTCATGTTATCAACATCGTAGAAAATTAGACTTCTCATGCTTTATCATGCTTTGGAGCTTCTAAACAAGAGACTACGTTAGCTAAAATCATACGCCGGAAAGGTACTTATACACAAAGGAAGGCGCTGGAAGCATAAATTTCTCAAAGTGCAAGCAAACTCATCTATCAAGCATTAGACAAAATTCACAGGGCGTGATACCAATCCACATACCAAGAAATTTCATTTCATTCAAGCATTCCAAGCAATTCGGACATTTCAAGCAAATTGAAGAACTCATGCTCTTAAGACAATACCATTCCACTTCATGCTCTCACGACAATATTGCTCAAGAACATGCTCTAGCAATGCTCAGATCAGCACTCAATGCCAACAGAAAGGACATGCTAAATTCCCAAGCAAAATCAACATGCCAAACAAAACTTATACACAAGCTTTCCAACCATCCTAGCTAGAATATCCCACCTTTAGAAAATCACTATAAATCAAGCTTACAACCAACAAATCCCAGACTTTCCATATTAGAACTAGACATATCAAGCTTCATTTTTCCAAAATTTCGTTGCATTTCGAGCTAGGGAAGCATGTCAAACAGATTTCTAAGACAGCCCATGCAGCAGAAACTGTACAGCTCCAGCACCTTAACCCTTACTATGAAATTCCACCAAAAATTCATTTTTTCTTCAAGTGATGCAAGACCAATTCCAACATAACCATTGAGAAGTCCATTTTTCTGTCTCAAAAGCTCCAACTCAGATTCGAAAAGAAACATTTCAAAAGTTCAAAAAACAACCAGCAAGCTACTTTGAGATATTTTGACAAACACTTGGCATGCATACCCAAGTGAGCTTGTATAACTCTTGTTTATCACCAAGCTAGAATCCTAAATCAAAAGATCAACCTTAGAATTCGATTTTTAGTTCACAAATTCTGGGAAATACAGAGGAACTCAAGCATTCAAGCATAGAAGACAAGCATGCAACAAAGGCATCAACATCAACTCATGAACATGCTTTAGAAAAATGGAGGCAGAGAGCACTAGAATGGGTGGATGATCCTCAATTTTGGATATGTTATAAACAACATAATTTCAAGCAAATTTTGTGAAGCAAGCGTAATCATACGAGCATCATAAGTTAAAGACACATGCAGAAGAAAAATCTACAAAAACTCACAAGCCATGGATGAATGCAGAAGTTGCAAACCAGCTTTGAGGTATCAGAAAAATTCAAAAAATTCTGCAAATTTTACTGGCTATAGTACTCAAGCAGATGAACAACTTTGATCAAGGAAGTTTTCTGATCCGAGCTTCCGAAATATGACTTATGTACTGATGCACAATACCCACGGGTTTGGGTCTTGAAGAAGAAGAAAGAGGAGAATGAAAAAAATAAAGCATGCCATGCCAAATGAAAGGAAAAGAGAGCAGCTACTTGCAAATAAAAAATTCAAAAGGAAGGGGCAACACAATTTTGCCCACGTGAAGACCAAGCCAGTAAAGGGGATAACGCGCCCAACTCTCTTATGTGCTCTCAAGCCCTCATCTCTTCTTCAACCCACCATGCATCAATACAATCATTTGTGAATCAATCCACACAAATCATGCAACTCAAGTATTTCACTTGATGCAATCATTTCAAGCAAACCAAACCAAATATCACAAGATCAAGCTTTTCAGGCCACACAGTCATCATAAAAATTGGAACTTTGCAGTTCTAGTTGCTGGAAGCACAGAGAAGAAGCCATGCTATCACCATATCATGCCAAATTGTCACCATTGCAACGAAGGGATACCCCAAGTTCATCACGCCAAGCTACATCTTGATTCAACTTAACTATTAGATTATCCACATCCTCATAGCAAGTCCAAACTAATCATGCCAAGCCAAGTCACGTTTTTTCCAGCACCTGTTCTCAAGAAAGTGAATGGTTGAATATTGTGTTGTATTACCAACGTCAAATAGTACAATACATATATACAACAATAGCCTTCTATCAACCCTGCTGTTAAGGCTTTGAAGACGTGATCCAATATTAGTGGGATTTGACCTACACTAATTTGGGCAAGTAAAGATATTACAATATTTACAAAGATATTTCCTAATACTCCCCCTCAAGTTGGAGAGTGAATATCATGAAGTCCCAACTTGTCGCGCAATGTCACAAATTGATCCTTCCCTAAGGCCTTCGTAAAAATATCTGCCAATTGGAAGCGTGTAGGTACATACGAAGGACTAATTATTCCAACTTGTAGTTTTTCTCAAACTATGTGACAATCAATTTCGATGTGCTTTGTACGCTCATGGAAAACAGGATTAGCGGCAATATACAAAGCTGACTGATTATCACAAAACAATGGTGCATGAGCTATCTGTGGGACTTTTAAATCCTGTAGTATAAAGCGTAACCAAGTCAACTCCAAACATGTGTTGGCCATAGCTCGATATTCAGCTTCTGCTGATGATCTTGAAACATTGGTTTGTTTCTTGGATTTCCATGAGATGAGTGAATTTCCAAGAAAAACACAGTATCCTGTAACTGATCTCCTTGTCGCACGACAACCTCCCCAGTCTGAATCACAAAAAGCTTTTAATGTAAGATTGTTGGTGGCAGAAAATAACAAACCCTGACCTGGAGTCCCCTTGAGGTATTTAAGGACTCGTATGGCGGCATCCCAATGAGGTCTGCGAGGCTGATGCATGAATTGACTTAGTGTTCGAACAGGATAGACTATATCAGGCCTTGTGACAGTAAGGTAGATCAATCGGCCAACCAGTCTCCTGTATTTGGTTGGATCATTCAGTAATTCTCCATTTGTGGGAGTGAGTTTCAAATTCTGTTCCATTGGGAACTTGTCTGGGCGTGCGCCTAGAAGTCCTGAATCCTGTAAAATATCAAGTGCGTACTTTCTTTGAGACATGAAAATACCTTTCTTGGAACGAGAGAATTCAATGCCCAGAAAATATTTCAAATCTCCAAGATCTTTGATGCGGAAGCGATTGAGAAGGAACTTTTTGAGACGTTCCATTTCTTGAAGATTATTTCCTGTGAGAAGTATGTCATCAACATAGATAAGAACTGCAGTAAATGAAGTGCCTTCAGCCTTGGTAAAAAGAGAATAATCAGCTTTAGACTGTTGATAACCGGCTTTTTGAATGGTATCTGAAAAGGTGGAAAACCAGTTTCTAGAAGCCTGTTTGAGACCATAGAGAGATTTGTTGAGCCGACATACAACGTTCTCCCTCTGTTGGAAAAAAGACCAGGAGGAGGCTCCATGTACACCACCTCATGTAAATCGCCATGGAGAAAAGCATTCTGAACGTCTAATTGGTGGATGAACCAATGTCGTGCAGCAGCAACAGTAAGGAGACAGCGGAGGGTAGTGAGTTTGGCTGTAGGGGAGAAAGTCTCCTGATAATCAATGCCCTCAATTTGAGTGTAGCCTTTAGCAACGAGCCGAGCCTTATAGCGCTTAATGGTGCCGTCAGACTTGTATTTGATTTTGTAGACCCATTTGCAGCCGATCGGTTTATGACCAACAGGCAGTGGAACCAAACTCCAAGTGTTATTGTGCTGTAAAGCCTCTAGTTCTGCAGTCATGGCTTGGCACCAATGTGGATCAAGAATAGCCTGAGCATAGGATGTGGGTTCTGTGTGACCTGTAATGTTAGCAAGAAAAGCACAATGGGCAGAAGATAAACGAGAGTAGGTAAGGAAGTGGGAAAGAGGATACCGAGTACCTGATGCAGAACGAGGCGCTGAGGTTGAGTGATTGACGTGGTTGGACATGTGGTAGTCTCTATGCCATGCTGGAGGATGTTTAGAGCGAGTGGACTGTCGAGGAGGGGGAATGAGAGGAATGGGATTATCTGTATGTGGAGGGGTGGAGTTGACGGATGGGGACAAAGGTGGGATGGGAGAGGTGGGGCTGTCAGGCCCGTCATGTGCGTCAGAGAGGATAGAGTGGTTAGGTGCTTGTGGTGGGTTGGTTGGAGGGTTGGGCGGATTGGCTGGTGGGTTGGGCAGATCGATGGGTGGGGTCCAGCTGTTAAGAAAATCAGAGTAAAGGTAGGGCTGGGGAGTATATGGGGAAAGTGAGGCCGAAAATTGAGAGAAAGGGAAGGTATTTTCACAGAATCGGACATCACGGCTTACAAAGAATTTGTTTGTCTCCAAATTGTAGAGTTTGTAACCTTTTTGGCCAGTAGGATATCCAACAAAAACACAACGTGTGGCACGAGGATCAAATTTATGAATAGGATGGACAACAGTTGCATAACAGAAACAACCAAAGACTTTCAAGTGGTTGAGTGATGGGGGACGGTTGTATAACAATTCAAAAGGTGATTTATTGGAAAGTAATGGTGAGGGTAATCGGTTAATAAGATAGACAGCGGTCAAGACACATTCACCCCAGAAAATAATGGGTAAGTGAGACTGAAAAAGTAATGCACGTGCGACAGTGAGAATGTGGCGATGCTTGCGTTCGACGACTCCATTCTGTTGTGGAGTGTAAACACAAGTGCGCTGATATTCAATGCCATTATTTTGAAAAAAATCCCTCATGGAGAAAAATTCAGACCCGTTGTCTACCCGAATGGTTTTAATGTTGGCATGGAATTGAGAGTGGGCAAAAGCAACAAAAGATTTGAGAAGGTTTTGGGTTTCAGATTTATGATGCATAAAAAATATCCATGTGCACCTAGTAAAGTCATCCACAATTGTAAGAAAAAAGCGTGCCCCTGAATGTGTGGTAACTTTGTGCGGACCCCAAATATCACAATGTAACAAATCAAAAGGAGCTTTAGTTGATATTGAACTTAGAGGAAATGGAAGTCTTGTTTGCTTGGCCATGGGACAAACACTACAATTATTATAAAAAGAAATGGTATGGGAAGGCAATAATGAAGAAGCTAATCGAAGACGAGCAGGGGACGGGTGTCCAAGTCGCATGTGCCATAAATCGGATGAGAGTGAAACTTGATATGAGACAGGTGTCTTTTGCAACGGAGACATGTAATAGAGACCACCACGCTGTTTACCCGAGCCAATCATCTTCCCCGTAGCCAAATCCTGCAAGACACAGAAGGTAGGAAACAAAATGGCACAACAGTTGAGAGAAGTAGTGAGTTTGCTGGCAGGCATAAGATTTAAGCGAAAAGATGGAACACACAAAACTTTGTCTAATGTGATATTTGAATTGAATGGTATAGTGCCAGTGGAAGTGATTGGGGCATGAGAACCAGTAGGTAAATTAACAATGGGCATTTGTGATGATTCAATTTTGGTGAAAAGTGTGGGGTCATAAGTGATGTGATCAGTAGCTCCGCTATCTAAAATCCAAGGTTTAGTGAACACAGAATTTATGGAGGGAATGGAAAAAGGAGCCAGACCTGCAGCATTTGCATAAGCATTGCTATTACCAGAGGAATGAGTTGAACTCATCATAGAAACGGCATGTGCTAGTTGTTGGAGTTGCTCTGCAGAAAACCCATGTAAAGGGTTGGATTGAGAGGCTGGCTGGGTTGTTGCATTGAAACCATATGACTGGGCCTCATGCGCTGGAGCTGTGTCTGCTGCGTGGGCAGTAGAAAAAGACCCACGCGAATTGATGTGCCCTTTAGACCCTTGACGTTGTTGCTTAGATTGATTGTGCTTACTGCCTTGAATTCCTGTGTCATTGGGAACCCATGTCCCATTTTTAAATTTACATCTATCCTCAGTGTGGCCTCTCCTATCACAATACTTGCAATGGAATTTGAGGGTCCGACATTCTTCAATTGTATGACCGTTTCTATCATAGTGCTCACAGTGTTTGTTCATCGAATTATTTGACATATTGTTTGATTAGCTGTGAATCGCAGCAGCAATGGAAAAATTCTCTGTTGGTCCTGATGTTATTTGTCGCTGTGTTTCGTCTTGAACGACGAGTGAATAGGCTTGGCGGACATTAGGCAATGGCGACATCATGAGGATATTGCCGCGAACACCGTTGTAGGTGTCGTTGAGGCCCATAAGGAATTGCATCATCCGATCTTCTTCCTTTTGTGTATTGTGTGCTTTCATCTCGTTACATGTGAGAGGTGTTTGATATGTTTCTAATTCGTCCCAGAGATCTTTGAGTTTCTTGTAATAGTCTTGTAATAGTCTGAAACCGTCATGGTGCCTTGTGAGAGATAGGCGATGGATTTCTGTATCTGATATATGGTTGGTGCATTCTTTTGTGAGAATTGATCTTTGAAATCTTGCCACACTTGATGGACAGTCTTGGCATGAACAACTGCTTTGGCCAGATCGGGTTCCACCGAGTGAGCAAGCCATGATAAAATCATACTATTGCATTGATTCCAGAGAGCATATTCGGCTGGTTGTTCAGTTTCTGAAGGAGGTTGAACGGATCCGTTGACAAAGCCAACTTTGTTCTTGGCCGTAAGAGCATGGAGCATGGATTTACTCCAAGATGGGTAATTGGTGCCGTTCAACTTTATGGGAACGAGCATGAGACCAGGGTGATCTGATTGATGAACAAAATATGGATGTGATGAATCCATACCAGGATTTTTGGTGTTGGTGCTTGAATTTTTGGAATTATTGTTTCTGGTTTCTGGTGGTGTTTGATCTGACATGGTGTTTGAAGGTGGCTAGGAAGTAGAAAGGGTCAAGTACCAGGATGAAGCTCTGATACCATCTCAAGAAAGTGAATGGTTGAATATTGTGTTGTATTACCAACGTCAAATAGTACAATACATATATACAACAATAGCCTTCTATCAACCCTGCTGTTAAGGCTTTGAAGACGTGATCCAATATTAGTGGGATTTGACCTACACTAATTTGGGCAAGTAAAGATATTACAATATTTACAAAAATATTTCCTAATACCTGTCATGTTTCAAATACCTTTCCAGCACATGCCCTATTTCAAATATTCTTCCAGCACTTGCCTTATTTCAAACACATTTCCAGCACATGCCCTATTTCAAATATTCTTCCAGCACTTGCCCTATTTCAAATATTCTTCCAGCATTTGCCTTATTTCAAACACCTTTCCAGCACATGCCCTATTTCAAATATTCTTCCAGCACTTGCCTTATTTCAAACACATTTCCAGCACTTGCCCTATTTCAAATATTCTTCCAGCACTTACCTTATTTCAAACACCTTTCCTATTTCAAATATTCTTCCAGCACTTACCTTATTTCAAACACCTTTCCAGCACATGCCCTATTCCAAATATCCTTCCAGCACTTGTTATATTCCAAATATCCTTCCAGCACATGCCCTATTTCAAACATTCTACCAGCACATGCCCTATTTCAAATATTCTTCCAGCACTTGCCTTATTTCAAACACATTTCCAGCACTTGCCCTATTTCAAATATTCTTCCAGCACTTGCCTTATTTCAAACACCTTTCCAGCACATGCCCTATTCCAAATATCCTTCCAGCACTTGTTATATTCCAAATATCCTTCCAGCACATGCCCTATTTCAAACATTCTACCAGCACATGCCCTATTTCAAATATCCTTCCAGCACTTGTTATATTTCAAATATCCTTCCAGCACATGCCCTATTTCAAATATCCTTCTGGCACTTGTCATATTTCAAATATCCTTCCAGCACATGCCCTATTTCAAATATTCTTCCAGCACATGCCCTATTTCAAACATTCTTCCAGCACTTGCCTTATTTCAAACATCCTTCCAGCGCATGCCCTATTTCAAGCATTCTTCCAATATCTAGCCATCATGTCGCACGATATCACCTTCACAGTAGTTTTGTCCGCTAAATTCAAAGTGTTCGGAGGCTGGTGCTGTAGACTCAAACACAATGGTGAATCCAAGCTTATTGCATCCGCAACTCTAAGATTGGATCCCCACCATCCACTAGCACGTCCGGCTACTGTCAAATGACATCTACCATGCTAAATGTCCCAAAAACCATATTAAACCATGCTACCTTAGCCAAAACCAAGCATCCAAGCATGCAAGCCAAAATCAAGCGTACACGCCAATGCCAAGCATCCAAAGCCAAAATCAAGCGTATATGCCAATGCCAAGCATCCAAGCATACAAGCCAAAATCAAGCATACACGCCAATGCTAAGTATCAAGCCAAAATCAAGCATACACACCAATGCCAAGCATCAGGCCAAATACCAAGCATACATGTCGACATCAAGCATACATGCCAATACCAAGTCAATGCAACTCTTGCAACCCACAATCATGCAAAATCAAGCCTCTCTAGTCACTCAAGCAAATAAATCATGCAAGCTAAGTAGTTATCTTGAGCAAATCCACTAAGCATTTTCTTATATATCATGCCACCAAATAGGTCAATTTTTGGTAACTCCAGTAAGTGACCTCCAAAATTACAGTGTCTAGGAAAGTTCTTCAAGGCAACACCCTCGGTGTTTAAGAAGGATTGGGTTTTAAGCGGGACCATTGCGACCCCTCTAACCTTCCCGGAAAAGACCTGGCTGTAATTTCAGAGAAGCTTAACTGGTCATCCTTGAGTTGCTCCTAAACTCATGCCATGCCATGCCATTGCAATTTATTTTGGGCTGAAAATTGATTATTTGGACCATTTCAACACACATTCATGGGCCCAATAATCAAGGGGGCTAATGTTGAGGCCCAAAAAATCCACGCTTCGGCCCAAATAAATTATCAGCCCAATGCGATACCTTATCAAGAAGAAACCCGATTTAGGCACGCTAAAGTTCGTCATATACGCTTTGCACACATGCCACGCCAAGCAAATAAGCAATATGCCACGCTACAAGCTTAAGTGGGCCCAAGCCATGCAAGATGCCTGGGGCTTGCTTGAGTGGGTTGTGGTATGGATGGTAATAAGTTGTCATGAGGCCTATTGATGGGTCGAGAAATGGAGGTTCCGGGTTGCTTGGGAGCCTCGGAACCCAAGCCCATTTCTTAGGCCCAAACATGTGGGTGAGCACAAAAGAGAAAGTAGCCCAACCAAAATAGCCCATTACTCCAACCAAAATAGCCCATCACTTCAACCAAACTAGCCCAATACTTGATGAAGTTAGCCCATGTACTTGATAAACCAACTTATTGTCATAGAAGGCCCAAGCAACCCAAAAAAATATCTGTAAATCTTCAGCACCTAGCTGAAAACAAAAGCCACGTTGAAAGCCAAAATATCGATGTGTGAAAGCTGCTGGAAAGCTCCAGCACATGGGAGGAACAAGTTTCAAGCAAAAACTTCCAAATGACCAAGGGATATTGGAGCGCAGATCACCATTTGAACCAGCATGCATACCTATTTCTTTCCCTCATCAGACCTAGCCTTGGAAGAAGGAAAAAAAGAAGAAAAAACAATGGCTAAAAATAGAAGTCTGAAACAGCCGCGGGAAAAAGGGCCTTGAGCACCCAAAATTCCTGATTTTGTGCAAATGGGTAGAGTGGATTTCACCAAAAAAGGATGATTGAAGGGATGAAGGGAGAAAGGAAGGGAAAGACTTGACAAAATGGGATGGAAACCATTAGGGTTTCTTGGAAAATGTCAGCTTCCAGCGGCTATAAATTGAGGCCTCTTCAACCCAACAAAAGCAACCCACATCTAGAGAGCAAGCTTCATCTCTCACCATGAAATCTCTGCAATTTCGTGCCCTAATCCTCCATCTCCTCCCACTTTCCATTCTTCCATGCCATTCTAGAGTCTGACATAGCTTTTGTCAGGTTGTTGGAAACTTACCCAAACCACCAAACACTTCACCATTAGCCACAACTCAGACCCAGAGAGCAAGCTTTCTCTCTAACTTACAAAAACCCAGCAATCTCGTGCACTGTTCATCTTCTTCTCCGTTTTACTCTCGGCAGCTGCCGGAAGAACTCTGCTCTTCATTTTCCTTTTCCTAGCCAAATCTCTTACAAAACTTCTCATTCCTTACCCTAACACTTCCTTTTCCCCCAAAGCAAGCCTAAATTTTCTCTTAGTGCCAAACTCATGTTGATTTTGCTCCCATGCCACATGCCACTCACGCTGAGCTTGAGAGTTTATCTGTAAGCAGAAGAAATAACCTGTAAGCTGCCATTAATTTTGGTTGGTGAAGATAACTGAAATACTTCCTAAGGCTCTACTTCCCTTTCGAGGTATTTTGGGGCCTAATTTTCGAACTTAGGCAAAGGGGACAATTTCATCAGTCTGCCATTTTACAGTAGCCCAGCCCATTTGCAGCTGCTGGAGGAAAAAGTCCCCTACAGTTACCATTCTAGTGTAAGACCTAACAATTTTCGCAAATTTGGCGATAACCTGAAATTCTAAACTTTATAAGAAATAGCCTTCTACTCTCAAACCATTGTAGTAAATATGGAAAATATAAGTGGTGGTCCTAAATGATGTCTTTTAATCACTCGAAAGACAGATAAATTTGTACATATGAGGATTACAGAGAAGTTAACTAATATGAAGTTATTGTATATTTTAGTCTCAAGCACGTAATTATGAGTCTCAAAACAAGGAAATATTACTAATTTATTTAGTGTGGGCTAAAGATTATTATTTCTTACTAGTTTAGTGTTCGATCCATCGAATTACATGAAAGACTTAAATTTATAAATAAAAAAACATTACCTCTTTTATTGTCATTTTTATTTTCTTTTGTCACCACATAACTTTGTTTAAAAAAAAAAAACCACTATCACTTTCTCATACAAAAAATTGGTAAACAAGTTCGGCCACGTAGCGTTTTTGGATTTAAAAAAATACACCATCAAGATCCATCAATTCGACAACATATTGGGATTTGATTCAGGTCATAGTTTCAGTGAGATAATATTGAGAAATCTAAATTCCTATCTACCTTGGTTTCATCATGGATTTACTAAAATTCAAAATTATGTGCCAACAAACAACGCCGAGCTTAGAGTTATATATACTTTAATTGCAAATTGTACTCGTTTAATTTGCCAAGTTATTTATGGCATGAAACATAATATGTCAATTTAGTTACCGTTTTGTTCAACAAATTAATCTATGAAGAAAATCCTTTCACGAATACACAATTTATTGGATTTACACTTATGTACACATGTACATGTGAAGAATAAGTTACATATAATCGTCGGTTTGGAAAGCACTGGTAACTTAGAAACTAAGTGATATTGTTTCAATAATTTAAAGCCACTAATTATATACGGAATAAAATCGCAATCTTATTATGCCAATTTATTTACCATTATTGTTCGATACATTATTTTTTTTATATAGAAAATCCATACATGAACAATTCTTGGAATCCAATGCGTTCATCATGGAGTTGCTTAAAGTCATACTTTTGTACAGCAAATAACGCCAATAATAAAATATATATACTTTGAATTTAGGACGTATTCGTTTTGGCTTGAAACCTAATATGCTAATTTAGTTACCATTCTGGTGGAACAATAAATTCACCTCTTAAAATAATATTTCTTTCATGAATGCACAATTTATTTAACTTATCATTTTCTACATATGCATTTACAAAAAATAAGTTACATATAATCTTAAGTTTGGAGAGCACAAATAAGTTAGAAATTAAGCTATATAGCTTGAATATGCACCTAATTATGCCAGGCATTAAATCGCAATCTTATTATGATAACTTTTTTACCATAACAGTTCGATAAATTGATTTGTTTACAAAATTCATGCATGACCAATTCGTTGACTCCAAGCTCACCGAAATGTGCAATCATAGAAAATAGTTTTCAAATTCACCTATATATATTGTATTCTTTTTAAAACCTAGTGACTCCGAATTCAAGTTTTATAGCACGTACAAACCTATAATCCTTCCTTGCTTTCAACAAATTGAATAGATATGGAGAAGGGTTCATTCAAGTCAGCTTTCCTCATTGTGCTCTTTCTTGTTTCTTATGATGGTAAAATACTTCTCTCAATTTTTATTTTTGTTACGATAAAAGAGAAATTTATTCTTGACATACTATAATCCGAACATTAATCCTAACAACCTAGGCTAACCTGAAGGGCCGACTTCTTTGAACAATACAACTGCATATGGGAATTATTTTCTCCAACGTGGTTGACTTAACTTATTTTTAAAATATGTATATGTCGTTGATACATCGTTAAAATTATACACTTTAACCTAACAATTGTCGATATTTTCAGCCATAAAGTCGAGTTTAAGTGTATATTTTTGTAACGTCAACTTATGCATAAAGCAGTATGTTCGCAATAAAGGCAAAAAACAGTTTTATTATTAATTATTGAAATATTAATTGTGGTAGGTGTGCAATTTGGAGTCAAAGCAAGAGGACCAGTTGTTCGTTATCCATGCCAAAGATGACCAATCCGTGAAAAGAATCTACTCCATTTCGAGAATTGGTGTAAGTGTCCGCCACCTAAAATATTGAAGTTCATTCCTCAAGACATCTCTACACACCCGCAAGCACAGAAGGAAATGTCATAATCAGTGCTACTTGATACATCAATATATATCATATACTTTTGACGTGCACCAAAAATCTTATGTTCTCCCAATATGTTCGTTAAATGTTTGAATGGATAATAAATAACATCACCTTCTTACTTATAGTTTACTTGGTTTGAATTTCTTTTCATAATACTGTGACGATAAAGGTGTGGTAAACAAGCAAACAGTGAAGTGATTCTAAATTACTGAAAACAACGAAAAAAATTCATTGAAATAGTGTAACACCTAACAATTTTCGTTAATTTGGCGATAACCTGAAATTCTAAAGTTTATGAGAAATAGTCTTCTGCTCTCAAACCGTTGTAGTAAATATGGAAAATATAAGTGGTGGTCCTAAATGACGTCTTTTAATCACTCGAAAGACAGATAAATTTGTACATATGAGGATTACAAAGAAGTTAACTAATATGAAGTTATTGTATATTTTAGTCTCAAGCACGTAGTTATGAATCTCAAAACAAGAAAATATTACTAATTTATTTAGTGTGTGCTAAAGATTATTATTTCTTACTAGTTTAGTGTTCGATCCACCGAATTACACGAAAGACTTAAATTTATAAATAAAAAAACATTACCTCTTTTGTTGTCATTTTTATTTTATTTTATCACCACATAACTTTGTTTTAAAAAAAAAAACCACTATCTCTTTCTCATACAAAAAATTGGTAAACAAGTTCGGCCACGTAGCGTTTTTGTATTTTAAAAAATACAACATCAGGATCCATTAATTCGACAACATATTGGGATTTGATTCAGGCCTTAGTTTCAGTAAGATAATATTGAGAAATCTAAATTCCGATCTACCGTGGTTTCATCATGGATTTACTAAAATTCATACTTATGTACCAACAAACAACGCCGAGCTTAGAGTTATATATACTTTAATTGCAAATTGTACTCGTTTAGGTTGCCAAGTTATTTATGGCATGAAACATAATATGTCAATTTAGTTACCGTTTTGTTCAACAAATTAATTTATGAAGAAAATCCTTTCATGAATACACAATTTATTGGATTTACACTTATGTACACATGTACATGTGAAGAATAAGTTACATATAATCGTCGGTTTGGAAAGCACTGGTAACTTAGAAACTAAGTTATATTGTTTCAATAATTTTAAGCCACTAATTATATAAGCAATAAAATCGCAATCTTATTATGCCAATTTATTTATCATTATTGTTCGATACATTGATTTTTTATATATAGAAAATCCATACATGAACAATTCTTTGAATCCACTGCATTCATCATGGAGTTGCTTAAAGTCATACTTTTGTACAGCAAATAACGCCAATAATAAAATATATATACTTTGAATTTAGGACGTATTCATTTGGCTTGAAACCTAATATGCTAATTTAGTTACCATTCTGGTCAAACAATAAATTCATCTCTTAAAATAATATTTCTTTCATGAATGCACAATTTATTTAACTTATCATTTTCTACATATGCATTTACAAAAAATAAGTTACATATAATCTTAGGTTTGGAGAGCATAAATAAGTTAGAAATTAAGCTATATAGCTTGAATATGCACTTAATTATACCACGCATCAAATCGCAATCTTATTATGATAATTTTTTTACCATAATAGTTCGATAAATTGATTTGTTTACAAAATTCATGCATGACCAATTCGTTGACTCCAACCTCACCGAAATGTGCAATCATAGAAAATTGTTTTCAAATTGAACTATATATATATATATATATATATTGTATTCTTTTTAAAAGCTGGTGACTCCGAATTCAAGTTTTATAGCACGTACAAACCTATAATCGTTCCTTGCTTTCAACAAATTGAATAGATATGGAGAAAGGTTCATTCAAGTCAGTTTTCCTCGTTGTGCTCTTTCTTGTTTCATATGATGGTAAAATAATTCTCTCAATTTTTATTTTTGTTACAATGAAAGAGAAATTTATTCTTGACATACTATAATCCGAACGTTAATCCTAACAACCTAGGCTAACCTGAAGGGCCGACTTCTTTCAACAATACAACTGCATATGGTTATTTTCTCCAACATGGTTGACTTAACTTATTTTTAAAATGTGTATATGTCGTTTATACATCGTTAAAATTATATTCTTTAACCTAACAATTGTCGAGATTTTCAGCCATAAAGTCGAGTTTAAGTGTATATTTTTGTAACGTCAACTTATGCATAAAGCAGTATGTTCGCAATAAAGGCGAAAAACAGTTTTATTATTAATTATTGAAATATTAATTGTGGTAGGTGTGCAATTTGGAGTCGAAGCAAGAGGACCAGTTGTTCGTTATCCATGCCAAGGATGTATGTTATTGAACCGATATTGAATGTTTATTGAAGGTTTATTGATTGTTTACTGCATGTATATCGCATGTTATTGCTCCAATATTGCATGTTTATTGGGGGCAAAAGTACCACTCAAATAAGATTTAAGGAATTAGATTTAAGGGGGGAAACGGTCCTTATTCTTTCTTTTATTAGGAAGAACAACTGTTAAGTTGAATTTCCTATTCAATACGACTTCCTTATGGTTGGTGTAATTGGGGACTGATGTATATTGCATGTGTATTGTGTGTATATTGCATATCTATTACATGTAATTTGCTTGTCTATTGTGTGTGTATTGCTTGTCTATTGCCTGTGTATTGTTTATTTCCTTCGTAAGCAATAAACAATCAATGCACACGCAATAAATGTAAGATATGCAAGCAATACAGAAGCAATAGAGACGCAACAGACATGCAATATAGACGCACCAATATACATTACTTTTATACTACTAAGCTGCCCAAAACCAATAAAATAAAGGAAATCAACGAATTTATTAACCGATTATAGAGGAGAGAGGGATTCAAACCCGAGGGGCAGTACAGAACCAATAGGGAGTTTTTATAGCATTGCACCTGGGGACATTTTTTCATGTGTTTCTATAAAGAGGGCATGGTTGAATAAAACATTGGAGGTGAGGCCATAGCCGCCTATTCCCTTTACAGAATTACCTTATTAAGATACAACCCATTGCGATTAAGTCAAGGCATGTTGAACGGCTTAAAGATTGGGATATGATATTTGTAATGGTGGCTTGGATAAATGATGACATATCACTTTGCAATGATGTAATACACTTAAAAAGCCATCAGTCCCCATTCACATATGCATTCTTCAAATCCCAATTCACATATGCAGTCTTCAAATCCCAATTCAATGCAGTTTGGTTAAGGTTATGTAAATGTCGTGAAGGAATTAGGCCAATATTACACAGATGTTTGTTTCATTAAATCCAAAAAAACTTTACACTCCAGATGCACATTTTACATATGGGAATGACATGTGTCTACCTTCAAAAACGCATCTGCCTATCAATTTAGATTGCCCACGTGCAATAGATTTACAGATCCATTTACTTTTCTCCTCACCAAGCCTCAGCATCTCCATTTCAGATTCTGCATTTTTCTGTCTATGCTCTGCATCCAGCTCCATATACATTTAGCACAATATGAGAATAAACGTAGCGTAGTATCACACTAATCGAAATGAAAGCATGCATCCGCTATAATATTTGCCACTATTTTGGTACTAATTGTTATTGTCCAATAACTTAAACCTAAAATTATGTACAAAAATACACTAAGATTGAGAAAGACGAAGAAGAATTGAGGAGCAGAGGTAGAATTCGAAAAGGACCCGTGGGTCTCTATTGTGTATTTACATGAGTTTGAAATTGGACATTCCCAAAACCTATTTAATCATCATGTACCTAAAACAAGTTCAACCAATATCATGGCATGTAAGCATCTCCCCGTGCTATCTCTGCAGCCAACTTTAATCGAGAAAAGGGCATGTTCTGTGAGGTGCAAGTAGCTAACGGAATCTCAGCGCTCAAAAGCTCAATGTACTTCAACACGAACATGCCATAATCGCCTCTAAAGCAAAACAAGAACTCGATCAATTCAACTAATGACATTCTAACGTAATTGACAATTTAAAGTAATAAAATTAAATAAAAAGTTGTGCTCACTGATTAGACTATTGTGGAACATCCACACGTTCTATTGGCCACGGACACCACCAATCTCGGCTGCAATCGTTTGCGTAAACACCTTCTTCATAAAAGTCGATGGTGTTGAGAAGATTTGGAATCGTAATTGAAAGCGGGGCGAGTTCTTCCTTTAAGATCTCATCTGGAATAAGTGAAACTATTGAATCGTACACTTTGATTTCACACTGAACTAGATCAATCGTTACAGCCACCCAATGCTAGTACTTCGTCAACATACAAGGGGCATACACCTTATACATGTTCTGCCAATCCATCTCACACGCCGGAACCTTGCCATTTACAACGTTCAGTAAACTATTTCTAATTTTTCACCCAACCTGCTCTTTTTTTCTTTTATTATCCGCAAAGCAAGTATGGATGTGATTCTGTGAAATAGAAAACAATCAATGGTTAAACACCTCCACAAAGCAAGTATGGATAATTTGTAATTATTAACTGCACTTGGTCAAGGCCTATGACATATCATAAAAAATACATCGGTCGTTGTCCAGTCCAATATTTCTACTTCCTCCAACTCTTGTTGTCACTTCCGGATGAGATATAACCCCAAATCAATGTGTTGCACATGTTTTTCTTGTCAATCTCATAATCTATGTACATTAAAACAAATGCATAATCAATTGAATTTACATCTCCTTTCAGCCAACCGTCAGCTTTGACGAGGGAAGCGAAGAATTCAATCTCAGCTTCCACGTAGCCAAATTGCATCACCAAACTATGAATATAAAAAAGTTTTAGAACACAACAATTAAAAAATATATACACTCATGCCTTCTATCTCAAAAAACAAGGGACTTACTTTGGGTTATGGTGCCATTCCCAACAAAGTTTCAGCAATTTCACCATATCATCATGCGGAATCGCCTTCATTGGGTCTAACATCCGAAGTCCGGTTGCCTCTGGCAGATTTTTTTGAACCAATTCACTGGCTTCAAGAATCTTCCACATATGAATAATCCTCTTCCTCTTCCGTAATTGGACCCCTTGTTCCACAACTTTACCTTCATCAGTCAACCAAACATTCAACTAAGATAGCACAGCTGTAGGTTTATCCAAATCAATGTCCTCGAGAGTAAACTCAACCTTTGTCCCCTCCGTGCTCTCGCCAATGTCATCGCTAAGCAACATAACTTCATCATGCTCTTCCTCATATTGGTTTATTTGCACTTCCTTTTCCTCACTTCTTTGTCTTTTCACTTCCTTGCCCTTCTTTCTTTTTCTTTGCGGATCCTCTCCCTCACTGCTTTTTCTTTGCAATTCCTCTCCCTCATTGCTTTTTCTTTTCACTTCCTCTCCATCACTGCTCTTTCTTTGCGCTTCCTTTCCCTTGCTGCTTTTTATTTTCACTTGCTCTCCCTCACTTCTTTTCCTTTGAGCTTCCTCTACCTCACTTGGTTTTTTTTGCACTTCACCCTCTTCAATCCCCTCCTCTTCCTTTTCCTCTCCCTCATTTCTGTTACTTGGCTCTTCACCCCTTCAATCCCCTCCTCTTCCTTTTCCTCTCCCTCATTTCTGTTACTTGGCCCTTCATCCCATTGAATGTCATCCATTTCCTCACTTCCCTTAAATAGATGTGAGATGGCACGACGATTCGTCCTCTTTTTCAGTAAAGCTAGGTCCCTCCTTACTTCCTGCTCAAACTGAGGACCTAAACAGTAGTCCAAAAGTTTTTCCATCCATATGACCTTTAACTCAAGGACGTCATTTTCCCACTTTACTTGAAACAACTCGGACCTCAACAAACTTACCACCTTGTTCAACTCATCAAGGTCAGCACATGAAGAAGGAATTGACTCTGCCGAGACAACAGCAGGGCGATCTTGTGGCCAACTCCAATATGGTTGTCTCATTTCCTCTTCACTCGGACATAGCGCCCGCAACTGAACTGACTGTTTCAGAATACAGACAAGAGTCATATTCAATCATTCTACTTCATAATTTCATTGAATCTTATAAATAGTTCCAAAGGCTGCAAACCAAACCTCTTTGCTCTGGAAAAAATAATTGTTCAACTTTCTAATCTCGGGAACAGACGTAGTAGTTCTCCATCGCAAAATACGCGGGACAGTTGTCGGATCAACAACCTTGCAATAATTCAGGTCCGCCATTCTAGGAATTAATTCATATACCCAAATCTACACAATTCACAAGACAAAAGTCATTATTTAAGTTTTAAAGTCCACAAAACATAACTGACATGAACATTATTACCATGTACCTGGAAAGCATACGTGAAACCTTTAAAACTCCAGCCACCTTTAACTGACATGAACATTATTACCATGTAACTGACAAGGGACAGTTTCCTTCTTGCCCTTCTCATTTCTCCGGCTTGTTCCCGTTACCTTACTTTTCATCTTCCCTCTTCCCTCTTCATTTTCAAAGCTTTTCACATACTTTGTTTGTGTAGAAAATAGACCGTCTTGGGTTTTGTCAAAGGACACCGAACCCCACAGATACATGTTGAACGCATCCAAGTCCTCTACAAGGGTTAGGTAATTTAGATTGATGTTCAAATGCTTGTCTCTTCCCAAAACCACTAACTCAGCAAAGTAAACAAAAGCTAGCTTGTAGATGTCATCTTCCTCTATGCACCTCAGAAATGCTTTTTCTAAAGCATTACATGTAATTCCTTCGTCTATAAAATATCTTTTATGAAGTCTAATTTCATCACTTTCTCCACTAGAAACTTCAGGCATTTCCCCAAAATGAAGCCCTGTGATCAAATAGAAATCCTGACGAGTGAATTGAGCAACGTCGCACCCTATTAAGAAACTCAGTCCATCTAAGTCTTTCACACCCTGCCCTGCTACTCTATGCAACACAACCCCATGCACAATCTGCCCGCTAAACTGAATCTTATCTATATTCAGAAGATGGCCAAAGCATAATGTCTTGAATTGTTCTAATTGTTTGGCACTCAACTTCGCTCGAATTGCAGCTAGGGATGAATTTGCATGTGAGCAGTTGTTCACCCGTGACGAATATGCCTTTGACTCTGGCCATACCAGCTCCACGTTGGATCCCATTTCCTGAAATACAAGATGAAATAATGTGAACACATATATTACCACGTATTTGCACAATCACATTGGTATTTACACAACTAGTCAACCAGGCACATTACAAATTTTACAAAGTACATGCGCATAGGGATTACTGATCACAGGCTTTAACATCATCAAAGCAATATGACAAATTTTGTGCAAATACCTGTTAATGCAATGATTCTGTGAATTACAAACAATTTCATGTGTTTTATTTATGGATCCAAACTCCAATAAATGATTGATGCATGAGTGAGTGTGAGTGCAATCTAGGCAACTTCTGCACTTCACACACATGACAATTATTGTCATCTCATACACAACACAAAATAAATAAATAAATAAGAAATATGGTGGAAGGAAGCAAAGCAAAGCATCTGCTCTGCTATCTGCTTGTTAAGCCATTGCCACAATTATTATTGACATGTTATTTATATGTTATTGACTTGATTTTCATTCGTTTTTTAACATATACCCAAGCAAAAATTAACCTGCAAGTGAAGCACAAAGAAGAGATGCCAAATCCAACAACATTGATGGTACAAAATGGGGGAAAACCGTTACTCTAACCCTAAACTCAAATTCCATAAATTACTCATCAAATGCTTTGCACTTATATTCATGAGTTTTTTATTATCTGTTCTCATTTTTCTCAGGCAAATTTAGTAACAAAGGAAATAATATTTATTTCAAAAATATATATATTCTAGCACCATAGAGATAATCTGCACTATGCACTGCTTCAAATGTGGAAGGTTTTGATTTGAGGGCCTCATCTAATTCAACACCATTATCTTATTCATATCATTATTGACATGTTATTGACATTTTATTGACTTGATTTTCATTCGTTTTTTAATATATACCCAAGCAAAAATTAACATGCAAGTGAAGCACAAAGAAGAGATGCCAAATCCAACAACATTGATGGTACAAATTGGGGAAAACCGTTACTCTAACCGTAAACTCAAATTCCATAAATTACTCGCCAAATGATGGTTATTGAACAATCGCAAGTGCCTGTGCGGGGTCTTTGTGTGGCTTTGCTCCACAAATGGAACCTATCACTTCCAACGAATATGGCTTCTCTCCTTCCCCTTCCACTGCTTCGCCCCTTCACTGTTTCGGAATCCACACCTTTGCCCATTCCACTCAAAATAAATACTTTTTCAGGGTTTGGAGAACGGAGTGGCGTTCAACTGTTGCCTTCAACCGTTGTTAACCGTGGCCTTCAACCGTTTCTCAGAGCTTAGCGGTTTCTTAGAGCTATGGGTTTTAGAGCAATGAGTTTTTTCTGTTCAAACTTCGAACTTGCCTCTTCTTCTTTTTTTCGGGACACTTCAAACTTGCCTCTTCTTCTTTTTTTTGGGACCTGCTGGATATTAAATTCGGGTTTGTGTTCCTCACCTACCCGATTGTACAACTTTATCTCATTCTCCCCATCCCTTAGATTGATCTGATGGCTATAAAGTGAACCCCTTATAACTTACCCCTTATAACTTTCCACGCATTATAGTCTGAGCGAAAAATATAAACTTATCCAGAAGAAGTCAACTACAGTTTTCTAAATAGGAATAGGATTTTTCAATGTTTCTTTACCAATTTAATAATTTATTTCAAAGAAAATGGAAATGAAAACATGAAATGAAACAGGTCTTTCTCTCACTGACTCTCTCTCTCTCTCTCTCTCTCTCATTCATCTCTATGTGTCCGTCCGTCCGTCTGGGACAGTTTGAGACGAGTCCATCTCTGTTCCAATGGCGTATTCTTCACTGGTGTTGTACTATTTGTCTCAGCGGCGTGTTCCAGGCCGCTCATTTAGACATTTTTTCTTCATACCCACAAGCTTAGCTCTCGTAACCTCTCTCCTCATTCTCTTTTACATTTCCACAACCTCCAATCTCTTCACTCATCATCACCCCAACCCAAAAACACCACTTCAAATCAATTCTTCTTCTTCTTCATCTACCTTTTCTTTCACAATTCTACGTCACAAAACTTCCTCCACACCCTTTGCAATTGAAGCTCCTTTGACAGAGGATGGTGGTGGTCAGAGAATTGAGAGTCAACGCTCACTAGGACCTCAACTGGGTTCAGATGGTATGTCAATCTTGAATCTTTGCTTCTGGGACTTGCTAATTACGCTAATTGTTTTTATATGTTTGATGGGTTATCGTTATATTCATATGCAGACTTCACTTTTGGACAAAACCAAGAAAATTTCATTTTCTTATTTGGCAATTGGCATTGTAACGGTAATTATAAGCTTGTGATTTGGGCAAAGAAACTTTAATAATAATAAAAAGTATAGGCTTGAAGAATTTACCAATTGAATATAGCATGAACAGCGCCAAAGAATGATTAGCAAAAATGACATGCTTTAAGAAAATCCTGGAGTCGATAGTTTTGTCTTTCATCTAACCAGGACACAGGATCATGGACTTGTCCTACTTCTATTGCATAAGGCCTTGTACAGTTACACAACTAAGTACCCTTAGCATTGAATTGATACATTGCTTCTTTCCACTAAAATTTTAAATACATGCAGTCTGCTCAGTGGTTACAGCACAATCTACTAATGCATTTCATGGTTCTCGGATTATATATCATAAGTTGAATCTAATTAGGAGGTTGGAAATATTTTAGCGGATCCATGTGAAGATGTCCAATTAAAATATATTTGTCCTAGCTATTGATTGTTGGATGTGGGACTTCTCAAAGGTGTTCACCTGAATATGTTAACAAAAACAACTTTTGGCATGGGTGGGTGAGTGGCAGGTTAGAGAAAGTTTCTGTTAACTTTCATGTTTTTAATTTCAATATCTGGAAACCGTTCGTTTTTATGGTCCAGGAAATCATGTCAATAACAACGAGGTGTTCCATGATAGACATATCTTTCTGGAAGACTATAAAGAAATGAAAAGGAGCTTTAAGATATATGTTTATCCTCACAGGCAAGATGATTCCTTTGCAAATGCACTTTTGCCTGTGGATTCTGAACCTGGGGGTAATTATGCAAGTGAAAGTTTCTTCAAGAAGGGCCTTATGAAAAGCCGTTTCATCACAAATGATCCAACCAAGGCAGATCTTTTCTTTCTGCCTTTCTCAATTGCAAGGTTGCGACATGACCCTAGAGTTGGTGTGGGAGGTATCCAAGATTTTATAAGAGATTACATATTCAATGTTAGTCAGAAGTACCAATATTGGAACCAGACTGGTGGAGCAGATCACTTTTATGTTGCTTGTCATTCTATTGGGCGGTCAGCCATGGAAAAAGCGAGTGAAGTGAAATTTAATGCCATTCAAGTTGTGTGCTCCTCAAGCTACTTCCTTCCTGGTTACATACCACACAAGGATGCATGTCTGCCACAAATATGGCCGAGAAAAGAAGAGCCACATGACCTTCTTTCATCAAATAGGTGGATATACATTCGTCATTTGCTATTTCTCTTTTGTTAAAGCATGGTCTTATATTTTCATAGTTAATATTAGATTTTGGAGAAGCAAGCATGAAAAAGTGATTCTTTTTTCTTCTTTTCTTAATATTTCTCTTTAGTGTTGCATTTTTTAATATGATCAGTCAAGACCTTCATCAAAAGTGAGTTTTTCCTTGCATCCTTTTGAGTCTCCTTGATATCTACTGATGTGTGGGTGGCAGTTCTCTCAGATTGGTTGGTTGCACTCATCTTGCAGTAATAAATGCAACGTTCTCTTTATAAAATTATTTTGGTAGTTTCTATCAGCTGGGCTGTTTCCTTTTCAAAATATGCTGCTGAATTATAGCTCATAGAAGATAGTTGGTACTTTCCCTAAGGAATATGATAGATAGTTGGTACGAACCACAAGGTTAAATATACGTATGTTCAACTATGTGCACTATTCTGATTGCGCCTGTACCCCTCTTTCATCGTTTCTTCACCCTTTGGGTTTTGGGCCTGCATGATGATGATGAGGTGATGCGGAGGAAGTCAGAGTATTTTGGTTGAATTATATCATTTCTTGTGTCTAAGAAAATAAATTTCTAATAGAGGCCAGGTTTGTAAAACTACTATGTAAATGTTCTCTTCTTTTTCTTGGAAACTGATGTTTAGTTGTGCTAGGCATTTGAGTATACCTTTGTGGCTTTGCATAATGTTAAATTCCTAGATCATACACTTGTGAACATTTTTGGTTCCCCATAGCTGATGGTGAATCATGTTAACTGGGATATAGCAGCGTAAAATTATGACATAGGAAGAAAAGACTTTGAGTGAACAGTATTGCTGTATCATTGAACTTCTCTGGGTGAAAATTTGGAAGTACGCTCATCTTTTCCTTTTGCCTCCAAAAGGAAGTGTTTGATAGAATGCAATTTAACATTTAATGAAAAACGCATTTGTAACTTTAAGCATGTTTTGGAAATATGTTGCTTTGATCTCTACATGAACTGGAACTCATTTTTCTTCCTTTGATAAAAAAAACAAATGTGCAGAACAAAACTTGCGTTCTTTGCTGGAGGAATTAACTCCCCAGTACGGGAAAAGCTTCTTCAAGTGTGGAGAAATGACTCTGAGATTTTTGCACACTTTGGTCGGCTTACCACACCTTATGCGGATGAGCTGCTTGGTAGCAAGTTCTGCCTCCATGTTAAAGGCTTTGAAGTGAATACAGCTCGTATTGCAGATTCATTATATTATGGTTGTGTCCCGGTGATAATTGCCAACTACTATGATTTACCATTCGCAGACATACTAAACTGGAAGAGCTTCTCAGTGATTGTTGCCACTCTAGATATCCCATTGCTTAAGAAAATCCTTAAAGGGATCAGCTCTGAGGAATATACGTGGTTACAAAGCAATGCGTTGAAGGTGCGCCAACATTTCCAATGGCATCTTTCTCCTATTGATTATGATGCTTTTACATGGTTATGTACGAGTTGTGGCTACGACGAAGTTTTTCGACAGTTACCTCAAGTAATTTTTGAAAATTCTAAATCAACAAATCATTTTACATGATTCTGTCCATTTCATTGGATTTCTTCATGTATATATTTCTTTTATAGTTATATTCTTTTATAGTAAACGTAGCTTACAAGCTTAAACCTCAAAATCTGGCTTTGTTCTGATTTGTAATTTTCTGAGGCCATGTTTTGATTTGTAATTCACTTCCAATAAATAAGAAAAACTATAGAGAATTTTTTATAAATGCCTCTAGCTTAAAATTTCTTCCTCCCTCTTTTCTATCCTTCTTTGAACAGAAGAAAATGACAAATCTTTTAAGAAGGAACTTAAAAGGCTCTTGACAAATCTTTTATTTTATTAAGTTTCCGATGTGGGACTCGTGTATTCTTCAACACTCCTCCTCATATGGGACCATTTTTTAGTGGGCCACATGTGCAACTAATTCCACATCGGTTTTTTTTTTTTTTTTTTTTTTTTTTTTTTTTTTTTTTTTTTTGGGGTTTATTTGGGGTTTTGATTCAATTTGGATTTTTTGTTTTTTTGATTTGTTGTTTTGTTGGGTTTAATCGGACGGACCCTTGACCCACCACTAGCAACATCGATATTGCCCCCAACTTAACCACGTGTTTTGCAGGTATAGGGTTTTATACAAAAGGCATCAATGTTATTAGGAGTGGAATCATTTATTATATGAGACTTTTTATTTTGTTAAGTTTCCTATGTGGGACTCGTGTATTCTTCAACAAAGTCCTACGTCTATTGAAACCCAATTAAGTGCTCCGGAAGTTGAAATGAAGAAAATAAAGCAAAAGTCATTTTTTACAACAAATTATCCTAAAAAAAGAGAGCATATAAATGAATATATTTATGAACCTATCCAAGTTCCTCTCAATTCACTCAAATTTTAACCAAGAGATGCAAAAAATTAAACACTCTATCGCGCTTGTAGTGTATAAGAAGAGCTTGAGCTTGTGTTTTACATTTAGATGGCTTGAGTGAATTGAAATCTCTCCACGTGAGGGCACTTGGTCAAAACAACTGAATTTGGATGAATTTGACAAAAATATGTGTCCTTAAATTGCTAAGAATTGAAACTACAAGGATAAATCTAACAAAATTGAAACTATGTGGACTAAAGTGGTAAAACCAACGAACTATAATGACCAAAACTAAACTTTTGCCTTTTTTGAATAGTAAAAAGTCATTGTAGGCCCCTGTAGTTTACCATTTAGGTCCTTATAGTTTGAATGTGATCAATTTTGTCTGTGTAGTTTGAATTCCAGGCAATTCAAGGACAATCTCTAATTTTCTGTCAAATTACACTAATTTTTGTTCACATAGAGGGGCATTTTGGTCCAATCTTAAAGCCCCCCCTTCAAACCACCACCCCCCCCCCCCCCCCCCCCCCCCCCCCCCCCCCCACATCTCTTCTCTCCTTTCTTTCTCCCGAGCGAACCTCCTCCTTTCTCGACCAAATCTCCTCCTCTAGACCCAACCAGCTCACCACCCAATAGCCACAACCGAATCACCCACACAACCACCTTCTCCCCTCCCTCTTCCCCCTCCGGTCCCAATATTCTTCTCCCCTCCTCTACAATCACCTTTCCCCCTCTTTCTATTATCAAACTCCAACCCTTATTCTATGCATTGCCTAAAACCTTTCCTCATGAACCCAAATTCCCAAAATCAAAAGCTAGAGATTAAGAGTAAAGAGTCACACAATTTTTATTATTCAAGATTGGAGGTGAAGGACTTCAAGACTTGAAAGCAGAAGAAAAGCTACCACAAGGGCTTATGGGTGGCTGTGGAAGTGGTTGGGGAGAGGTTGCAAGATTGGACCAAAATACCCCTACACGTGAATATAATTAGGGTAATTTGACAGAAATTGGGGATTGTCCTTGAATTACTTTGAATTCAAAACTATTGAATCAAAATTGATCAAATTGATATTACAAAAATTATAAGGACCTTAATGGTAATTGCAAGTAGCATAATGGCTTTTGACCTTTTTAAATTAGCTGATGTAAACGTGTCATTTTGGAAGAATTTTCTAAAGTGTTTCTTAAGCAAGATCAAGAATAAAGAAAAGAACTTGGCAAAAAGAAAATAGCAAAAAAAGAAAAAAACATGTCATTTTAATTTATTTAAAGAAAAAAGAAGAAGAATGAAATAGAGAATCAAAGTAGCAAAGTTACTATTCATGTTAGGAAAGTAAAAGCAAACAAAACAAAACTCAAGATCTTCAAAGGAGTACAATCCGAGTACACTTCACCAGAAAAGAAAAGAGAGAAAATTCCACAGCATACATGTTTTACCTTCCCTCCAGATTCAAGGACAAGGTGCCACTGCCATACTCTCTCTATCCTCTTTCCATTCCTTCCATTTTACCGGAAAAATCCCATCTTTCCTGATAAATTCCTTCTTTCCAATACACTAAAACCCATATATTTCATAAAAACTTACTCTAGACACCAGATTTGATATTCCTCCATCTGCTCGCTGTTTTTTTCCCCAGAAAATATTTTCATGATCGATTTTTTATTTGGATTTTAATCAGTTAATAGTCCCTGCTTCCAAGGTTCGTTGACTTTAATTATCATTATTTTAATTTTGCATATCTGGTATAATAGCCCAGATCAGTTGATTCGGAATTGGCATTTGTTTGGAATTAAAGAAGGATATGAAAGATTCCCAGCTACCAAAGTGAGCATTACATGGGCATTTCTTTGTTAAACTTAACTTTCTTGGTTAACTAATTTTGATTTTTGTCATTATCTTTTCTTACATGGAGGTTGATCTTGAGTAGGAATTCTACTTGAAATTGGATTTGGAATGTGATGTTATTGGGGAAGTCGAATTCTGTGCTTGATGAACCAAGATGGCATTCAAATCTAAGATAAAATGGGTTGCTCTGTTTGTCCTCGTTTTATCTTTTGCATCATTGCTTCGGCACCTCTCTATAGCAAAGTATTCCACTGTCGATTTAGTCCAGTATAGTGCATTGACTGCATTCCATAACGATTTCGATACCCTATCCGGGAAACAGGTGAGATTTGATTAATTTGTGTGTGTGTGTGTGCAGGCGTTTTGAGTGTATGTTTTGGGTTGTTTAATGATGGGTTTGTTTTCTTTGTTACAATCTGGCAGAGTATTCCTAATAAGAAGCTATGGGAACCTGTAAAGCCCTTGCAGTCTTTGCAGCCTTATGCCAACCCCAGGAGCAACTATCCTGGTGATGATTTTGCTCTTATTCTTCCATTTGTGTGTTTTCTCGTTTATTTCGTTGCTGGGTTATCATAATCTTGTATGGAATAGTTTAAGAATTTGACAGTTAGGAGATAGGACCTAGATGACTTGTTTTTGCGACCAATTTTGGTATTTAAGTAGGAGGTGTCCATGAGACACTTACAATGGTAAATTGACAAATCGGTTACGTTGCATCCATGACCCAACACATTTTGTAGTCACGATGCTTCTGTCACCTGTCCAAGATCTTCAGAACTGCAATAGTTAATCCTTTTCAACAAACCGATATCCTTGGTATTCTGACTTTTAATTGAATTCCATCTTTCTTTGTTCTTGCTTGTCGCTGGAGGGTTTGGTGAGCTTCAACCGTTAATTTTTAAGCTGATTGATTACTTTTATTTTCTTTACAGTTCCAAATGAACAGAGCAATGGCTTCATTTATGCGAAAATATTTGGTGGATTTTCAAAGATAAGATCTACGGTACGATTTGTCAAATGTGTGAAAGTAATTCCATGATAGTTTGTATATGGTGTTCATAAATCTTTGTTAATTTTCTAGATCTGTGATCTGGTCACCATATCCAGGCTTCTAAATGCTACTCTTGTCATTCCAGACATTCAAGAAAGTACTCGCTCAAAAGGCATCAGGTTCTTTATTCTATCTTGCTTAGTGGTTTTTTCAAATGCCAATTTTCTGTAATAGTAGATCATATAGTTCATTCCTTCTTACCATTTTTTTTCTCTAACTTTGTCAGCCATCGTTTCAAGAGTTTTACATATCTCTACGACGAGGAGCAGTTTATTGCATCTCTTAAAAATGACATAATCATAGTGAAGAGCCTGCCAGACAATTTGAAGGCAGCAAGGAAAAGGAATGAATACCCTTCTTTTAGACCCAAGAATTCAGCCTCTCCTAAGTTTTATATTAAAGAAGTCCTACCAAAGTTAAAGAAAGCCAAGGTTATTGGCTTGGTTATTGCTGATGGTGGATGTCTGCAGGTAGTCATTGTTCTACTATTATTAATAATATATTTAGCTATTGAAAAAAAAGTCATCTTCTTGAGGAAACAACATGTTCTATTAATGTTGATAACCACGTATTCTTTTGTGCCCTAGAGCTGTCAACTGTGAATATTTTTTGTGAAGAAAAAGAAATTCCAAAAAATCAGTTACTATAACTACACTAGATCTGATGTTGATGTTCCACTACACTACTTTAAGATGAGGTGAGTAACAGAACAGGAAGGCCTCAGGAGTTTTAGTTTATTTATTTTTGAATTGCCTCAGGAGCTTAGTTAGCACTATTTTATTAGACTTTCGATGCCTCTTGGATGATTACACTGTTTATAATCAATAATAACATGATTATTCTCTGTATTACCCTAGGTGCATTTAAAATATGTGTTCTGTAGTATATAAAAAATTTATATGAAAAGGTTACATCGTGAGGATCTTAGCTCCATTAGTTGATACAGGGAGGCATGATCTATCATTTTTACCCTCTGTTGGCCTGATTGAAATTTCTCTTCCTCTTTGCTATTGGTCTAGAGAGACCATTCTTTTCTCTCATGATCATCGATATTGTTGTCAGTAGCCAGTGTCTTTTCCTTTCTTTTTTGCTTTAGCGATTTCTGCATTCTCAGCTTGCATGCTTGACAATTGAGTTTTAAGTATTCTTGAAATAATAAAATCCTCTTTTCAGTCAATCCTTCCACCAGGCATGGCCGAGCTTCAAAGGCTTAGATGCAGGGTTGCTTTCCATGCACTTCAATTCAGGCCAGAAATTCAAATTCTTGGTCACCGGATGGTGGAGAGGTATGAATCTACAAACCCACTTTTTTTTTTTTTTTTTTTTGTTTTTTTTTTTTTGGAAAAGATTGAAGCGAATGATTGAGGATGTGATGCAGAATGCATATTATTAGTTTTCCTTATTCTACTTGGATTAGTTTTCCTATTATTAGTTCTCCTAACTCTTAAAGGTTCCTTCTTGGTAAAGGATTTCTTATTAGCTAATTTGCTTTCCTATTTCTTAAAGATTCCTTCTTGTTAAAGGATCTCTTATCAGTTAATTTGCTTTCCTATTTCTTAAAGTTTACTTTTCCTTTTCCTAGGCTAAAAAGGGTTTTGTCTCTATAAATAGAGCTGTTTGTAATATTTTAAGGCAGACTTGATTAATGATAAATTTCCTTACTTTAAACTCTCTGATTCCTTCCCTTTCCCTTCGTCTCTTCGATCTCTAATTCTTCTCTTCGATCCCTTATTTCTTCCCTGCTCTATTGCTCCAATGTTTACTCTAAACCTACGGGCTGTTTACTCTAAACCCACGGGCTGTTCTACATCAAGGTGTTTAGGGAACTTGATTGTTACAGACTGCTCTTAGACAATAAAATGAATTTTTATTTGAAGGTTATGGGTGGGTTGGAATTAGGCATAGTAACGGCTAGACTGGAGGGATAAGGTAATGGGATTAGGGAATTGAACCAGTACATGTTAGGTCTGGCTTTCTGGCAAATAAGATATAAATATGCATGAAATATGAAAATTGAAAGTATAATCCTTGGTGTTTATGCCTGGGTTTTCTAGACAGGCAAAGTGAACACATCATAGTCTTAAAGAGCTTCAAAGGCCGCCTGAAATTTTCTATAATAATTTTGTTAAAATCCTTTTGTTTTATATAAAACATTCAGACTTTCTACGATAATCCTTAAAAGTTTTGGAAGAAGTGTTGTAGGCTCCTGGCACTCGTGGTTCCGAATTAGTATAGTATTTCCTTTTGGGACTAAAAGACTTCAGAAAAGGAATATGTTTAAGTGAACAAGAGTGGCAGATGCTGGAAAATGTAGAAATAATCATAAAAAAAAGGAGAAAGTTAGATGAACAAGTTTAAAACTACTTGAATCACTCTACGAGCTAGAATCACTCTTATTTGTGAAACGAGGCCTTGTAGCCTCTCTAGATTGGTGAATTAGTCACAAGAAGTAGATTTTTCTGTAAATACTATTCAACAAACCACAGACTTACATGCTTTATATGGATCTGTAACCATGACTTTATTCTGCCACACATTACTTGAAGTCATAAGTTTTATTTGAACCTCTTATTTTAGTCACCCAATGACTTCTAGTATTCACAAGCATGAAACATAATTAAATTTCCTGGCACACAAGACTCTTAGACTTAATTTAAGAATCTGGACCTCTAGACTTCTTGTGACTCTTCAACATTATGTTTTTACTGAAAAAAAATCAGCAAAATTATTCTGTGCCATACTAGGGCCTGCTGCAACTTGATCCCACCAATTTACAGTACTGGGCTGAGGAATAAGTTTCTTCTTTGTTTGCTTATACACTTTCAAAGGGGTTCTCCCTGGCTCGACAAAATTTGGATCTGGTGAGGCAAGACTTTGGTGTTCCTCATAGAAATCTGAATTAAGCTGTTGCTTCTCTGATTATGTGTTCCAAGTACAAGCTTAAGGTGGTCACTGTCTCCATTTGACTAAGAACTGTTTCTATCCTCCATTCCTGGTAGAAACGATCTGATCATGGGAGTTGTTCTCTACATCATCATGATCTCTTAGATGCTTTCGAATATTGTATAGTTGCCTAATCATACGATGTCCTTCGGGTCAGACATCGTGAAAATGGGAGCTAGAAAATTGACTGTAAGTTGAATTCGTTTGATGGTATGAATTCAGTTGGAACACTATCATGAGAGTATGTTCAAGACACTTCGAACAAGGCATACAGATCCTTATAAACTCAAGAATGACTACTGCTAACACATATTTTGGAGCTACCATAAGATATGAGACTTAGGCCCATTTTCAATATTGAAGATATAACGAAATTTTCTAGAAAGCATGTATGCTCTCTGGAGACTTGTTCTCATGGTCAAACCTCATATAGAGCATATAAGTCTGCCATGCTTGTTCTAAACCAGTGCATATATTCCTAACTTCTACTCTAGTGATTCTCATGTTTTGGTTATTTCTAAACTTTCTACAATCTGCCACTCATACTTTTCACCTGAACGAATTCATCTAATCCTTCCCTTGCTCTTCTACATCAAAACTACCAAAGACCACACACAAGGTTCTAATAACGCAGCTTGACCAATAATGATATTGCATGGCATAATTTTACAGCTCATCTCCTGAACTTTCTAGTAAGTATTACATACTGACTCCAAAAACAAGCAAAAAGCATGGGTAAAACTAAATATCTGGTAGTGTGGTTATATCCTTCGGGTAGTACTTAGACTAGAATTGCTCTAAGAACTATTTGCCTTAAGTTGATCAATGTTGGTTTTATACTATATTTCCATAGGTTACGTGCATGGGGCCAACCTTTTCTAGCATTTCATCCTGGTTTATTGAGAGAAACCTTGGCATATCATGGTTGCGCTGAACTTTTCCAGGTACGATGTTTAAGCCTGTCTATCTTTTATATTTGTGAGAAAATAAAAAAATTGTTGATCCACATGCTAATAGATTAATATTTCGGGAATACTGGTAAATAAACTTTATCATGGTATCAGAGCAGGAGTTCAAATCTCTGCAATTGCAACCTTTTCCACATGTTGGCCTTTAGTGATTGAAAGTGGCCCACATGTGAGGGGGTGTTCCAACTTAAACATAATTATTGTCCCATGTCCTACCAGCTTAAGCTGTCGGGTATAAAACTTTCCATATTTCTGCCTCTGAAGTAGAAGTTAGTGGTAAACAAATTGTTGTATTTTGTTCCTTGGTTAGATTTAATTCCAATATAAATTCTGTTTCAGAGCCCTCTACCCCTCCCTGCTGGTAAAAGCGATTCCACCTTAAAATAACTCTGAAATCTAAACAGTTTATTCATTCACTTTCATGGTTATCAAAGTTATCATGTTAACTTGGTAAATTGTGTAGGATGTTCACACTGAACTCATACAATATCGAAGGACACAAATGATTAAACGGGGCATTGTTCATGAGGAACTAAGCATAGACTCACACTTGCGTAGAGAAAATGGTTCATGCCCTCTGATGCCTGAAGAGGTAAGCTCAGTTCTAACTTTCATATCCAGTGTATGTTTATGTAAGCACTGTTGTATTGTGTAGTGGTGTTTCCTTCCCCTGGTTTTTCCTTATTTTTTTAAAAGTGCCATAGGAATTCTTACATATTAGTAGTGAATTTCTTTGCTGATTGTGATTTTAAGTTTCTAGGCTCCTATTCGGAATTGATTTCAGGAGTTGAGCAAAGCAGAACCTCAAGCATCCTTTCATCAATTCCACCCTTAATTTTAAATACTAATATCTGGAGTGAATTTGTATTTCCAAAAAGTTCTGCGTTATATGTTTAATAAGTAGAGGATGCAGGCCAAAATTGTTTTTGTTCTTCGGTTGTGGTTGCCTTATCCACCTCCGTGTTCTTTTGCTAATAAATTTAGTTTCTTCTAAAATAAATAAATAAATAACTGATTTTAATATTTTTACTTGAAAATTTTTATTTTCGAAGGGGAAAATGATGGACTATACAATGAATAAGAATTAGAAATGATCCTTTTTAAGATATCCACTTAAAATGTGGGTTTTGGTCACTGATTCCTAAATTACATAGTTGGCTGGCCCTAATTGGGTCATCACCTTCACAGAATGCTTTTTATTTATTTATTATTATTATTTTAAAAAAAGAAAAAGAAAAAGAAAAAAAAGTGTGGGGAAGAAATACAACTAGAGTTCAGGTTTGCTAATGAAATGCACTGTCTTCTTTCTACATTGTAAATAGTACTGAAAACAAACAAGGGTGTTCATAAATATTGTGGCCGACTTGAAAACAACCTTGTATATTTTCCTTTGTATAATTGTGAAAGCAACCTCAAGCCTATATCTCTTGCCTTGATTAATAGAGAAGCCCAACTCCATACGTCTGTGAGCAAGCTCGTTACAAGGAAGCATAGAATAAATTTGATATATATATAGATATAGATATATTTAAATATTACAATTTTGTATACACGCTATATAATGTGATCTTTTATTTGCTAAAGGTGCATCAATGAATCATCTTATAACTTATAAAGTGCAATGTAAGGACTTATTAATTGATAAATCAGCCTACTTAGTTAACTTGACTAAATCTACATTTGATGTCACTTATGTGTAAAGAATAAAGAATGATTCTTTTAGGTGTATGAGGAGGTATTTACTTATTACTATTAGGAACTGAAAAAAATAGGGAAAGAAAGAAAAGCTCCCTCTGAAATATGTATGAACCAAGTTTGAAGTTAAAGTTTCTGCTGGTGCATTAGCTCATTTATTCTTATTGGAACTTTCACAGGTTGGAATTCTTCTTCGTGCAATGGGGTATCCGCCTAAAACAATTGTATATTTGGCTGGTTCTGAAACATTGGGGGTCAACGTGTTCTGGTCCCCTTGCGTGCCATGTTTCCCAACTTAGTGGATCGCACTTCTTTGTGCAGCAATAAAGAATTGTTGGATATACTTGGACCTGAAACACCTCTTCCTCTAAATCCTTTTCAACCACCTCCAGCAAAAAGTGAGGCACAACTTAAAGAAGAATGGAAGAAGGCTGGTCCTAGGCCTCGGCCTCTTCCTCCACCTCCTGGTAGACCTATCTATCAACATGAAAAGGAAGGCTGGTATGGTTGGATTACTGAGACTGCCACCGAACCAGACCTTTCAGCTGTGGATCTAAGGATGCAAGCACATAGACTAATTTGGGATGCTCTTGACTATATTGTCTCCATGGAAGCAGACACATTCTTTCCTGGCTTTAATAACGATGGCAGTGGATGGCCGGATTTTTCAAGCTTGGTTATGGGACACCGTTTGTATGAGACTGCTTCTTCTAGAACATACCGACCAGACAGGTATGATTAGATGGACTTGAAAGTAATTTCATGAAGTGTGGATGACCCATTAAAATTGATTTAATCAATGTTTCAAATGGCATATGAAGGATTTTGGGTTAATTTAGCTTCATTTATTCTACAATGCCCCAAGTTCATTTGAATCCTAAAAGGCCACTGGTGGGTGGGTTTGGGTTGGTGGAGAAGGGAAAGAATGGTTTGATGGTGATTGGTTAATAGTATACTTCTATTCATATATTTCAAGAATTTACTTCTTTATTTAGTTTTTTGATAGGTAATTGTGAGGATTTATTGAAAGTTGTTGGTTTGCATACATGGTTTTGGACCTCTTGTTTTTTTTCTTGTTTTTTATTATTTTTTATTTTTAAAGGATAATAAGGTGAACACAAATGTTTTTTCCTTTGCAATATCATGTACTACATGGGGCATATCTGCATGCTTAATTGTGTGTATATTCACGCACACACAGATGGACATATATTTGTCGGAGTGCGGGTCTGGGAAATACATGCGACCTCATTAAAGCAATATTGAAATATACGTGTTCGCTTCCGCTTTGAAGTGCTATATTAGCTTTCTACTTTCTTGAATAGTTAGCTGATATAAATATTCTTATGTGACTTTGTATGTGCTCTTTTCGAACAGGAAAGTTGTAGCAGAACTTTTCAACATGACCAGGGACAATGTATACCATCCCAAGCATAATTGGACACTCTCGGTGCAGGAACATCTTAAGAAAAGCTTAGGTGAGGAAGGCCTAATAAGGCAATCCCTTTTGTCGAAGCCAGGCGTATTCATTTCGCATCCACTCCCCGAATGCTCTTGTAGAATATCTTCTGCCGAGGTTCCAGTTCATGTAAAAGGTAATGACGGACGAAGTGTGCATGGAGGCGAAGAAGAGTGCCCCAAGTGGATGCAGCATGGTCAGGAAGTTCCTTTGGAATCGGCTGGGGAAGAGGATAAAGTGGAGGACAATGAATTGTCAGAGTACGGAAGTACTCTGGTTGAGCAACCAGAATCAAATGACAGTGACAGAACTAATACAAGTCTAGTCTTTGATCAGGATGATGAAATGGACCCAAATGACTAAAATTGGATTTCCATATGATACAAGTTCTTTTTACTGTATGGCGGCATTCAGTTTCCATCATTTTCTTCTGAAATGGAATGGTTTTGGAGGTAGAGTAATACTAGGGTTTGATTCCCGGTTCCAACTTTGCCATTTGGAGAGGTATAGGTATTCAAACATATTCTTTGGGTCGATTCTTGGGTTTACTATAACAAGAGGAGGAGTTATTTGTGTAGCTTACTGCGAAATGAGGATCGGGTAAGTATCAATGAACTTGGGGTAAGCTGATCAGAGTTTGTACACCTTTTTAGCCATATTGAAGCTTTTCAACCATAGGACTACATGTTAGATAAGCCACCTGTGTAATATTTATTCTTTTTTATTATTATAATTTTTTTATAATTTTTATAATTATTATTTTTTATATAGAGAGAACAAATGACAAGTACACTGGATGATTCACTGCGGATCTTTTGTTAAATTTTTATTGGAAATTGATTCTTTTGTTGGTTTCATTTCCTGTCAAAATGAGCTTTTGCTTTGACAGCAAGTCACAATGGTTTGTTTATACGCGGTTGAAGTTGGATGCCGCAGTTCAGTGGAATCTTGGTTGTTTCTCCTTTTTCACGGGCATGAATTACTTTGAAGCTTTATGTTGTTTTGTAGTGAATAGTGATGCAGCATTTCCATGGTGAAGTGATCAAGCTTTGGAATTTTACGGATGAGCTTCTATGTTGATATTTGGTACTTGCAAAATTATTTACCCAAGAAAGAATATTGACAGCTCAAAATTTCGGGCACATCTTCAACTAGAGCTAGTTATCTCTAACAGCACAAAGTTGACGCACTTGCATGTATCGGAGTAACCGCATGATTCCTTAGAAGAAACAAATTAAATCCAACTTTAATTTCATATAGAAAGTTCCGAGAGAGTCCTAAATAATTGTTTACAAACAAACCAAAACTCGCAGTGACTTAAACCAAGTATCTGTCATCACATTGTTGTTAATTGTTACTCGTGCAAACTTGCTTGCTACAGCTTACCATTATTTCCAGTACCCTAACAAACACTCACCAGAATGGGAGGTTGTTGTAATCTTAGTTTCATACAAAACATTAGCTTCCACATGTAAATAAAACATAACAGATTAGTTTTATTCATTACTATTAACACCCTTTATTCACACAACATATAAATAAAACATAGATTGCAAAGTATGGACATGGAGAGCTGAAATACACTACCACAGAGGTTTTATACTCCATCAGTGGCCGCCAGTGCCGCATCTGTGGGCTTCTCAGCAAGAGTGAGACTTTCACCTTCAGCTTCTTTTATCTGCCTCATGATGTCTAACTTTGTTTCACGAAGGGCTTCTATTTTGCCATTAATCTTCTCTAGCTTCTGTTTCAACTTTCCAACATCCTTGGACTTGTCCTTCTTATCAACTTTTCTTTTCTTCTCGCCCTTCTCCTTTTTATCTTTGTCTTTCTTCTCTTTACCTTCCTTTACTTCATCTTTCTGGCTCTGTTCCTCCATTTCACCCTCTGATTCCTTGACATGTTCTTCTATTTCAATCTCCCTAGAAGTAACTTCAACCTTGGTCTTTTCCTCATCCTCTACATTATTGTGTTTCTCCTTTCTCTCCTTCTTGTCTATTTTCTCTTCTTTTTTCTTGTCCTTCTTCTCGTTCCCATCATCATCACCCTTGTGTTTCTTCTTTTTATCATCTTTGTCTTTCTTCTTCTTCCCTTCTTTTTTGCTGTCATTGTCTTTTTCCTCATCCTTTTTCTTCTCCTTCTCATCATCATCACCCTTGTGTTTCTTCTTTTTCTCCTCCACATCTTTCTGCTTCTTCCCTTCTTTTTTGTTGTCATCGTCTTTTTCCTCATCCTTTTTCTTCTCCTTCTCATCATCATCACCCTTGTGTTTCTTCTTTTTGTCCTCCACATCTTTCTTCTTCTTCCCTTCTTTTTTAATGTCATCAACCTTTTCCTCATCATTTTTCTTCTCTGTTCCATCATCATCATTCTCATGTCCCTTCCCTTTCTTCTCTTTCTTCTTTTTCTTATTCCCTTCTTTTTCCTCATCCACATTATCCACATCCTCCTCTTTTTTATCTGTGTCCTTCCTTTTCTCTTCATCTTCTTTCACCTTGACCTTATCCTTCTTTTCCTTCTTCGACTCTTTTTCATCCATATCTTTCTCTTTGTGTTTATAAGCATCCTTGCCTTCAATCTCTTCTTCCCCTTCGTCTAAATCTTTACCCTTTTCCTTCTTCTCTTTTTTATTTTTCTTCTTTTTATCTTTTTCTTCCCCCTCTCTATCATCTACTTTATCTTCTGAGCCTATAATATCTTTGTTCTTCTCCTTTTTCTTCTTCTTCTCTTCCTTGTCCTTCTTTTTATCCCCGTCGCTCTCTTTCTCTTCCTCGTCCTTCTCTTTGCCACTGTTGTTTTCTTTCTTCTTTTCCTTCTTGGTTATGTCTTTCTCCTTCTTCTTTGATTTCTTCTCATCTTTATCAATATGTTTCTCCCCATCCTTTTTATGTTTCGGCTTCTCTTTTACCACTGACTTGGTCTTTAATTCAAGTTCCACCTCAGCCTTCTCCTTCTTTAAGTCACCTGGTTGTGCATCCTTGGTCTTGATCACTACATGGGATTCTTCCTTTTCAACCCTTTCTTCCCCTGTATGTTCAATTTTGTCTTCCATCTCCAGATTATATCCTAAAATTTTAAACGTAAAACTGTTTCCTCTGGACCTGAGATTACCCAAAACAAATGTAAATGTAAGACGAGTAATCTGAGAACAAATGCAGTAGAACGTGAAAATCCTAATACTTGGTGAATTATAAAATCTCATAATTAACAAGAACAAGAAAAGCCATTGTGTTTGCCTAAATAAGAATAAATTGTTTAGGTTTAGAGCTCTGTAGTCAGCACATCACAGCCAATACTTAAACAACTGGAAGCTTACAATTATTTCATCTACATGTTTTACTATAAAAATGCAAGCTAATGAAACTTATATTCCTTTCTTCAATCCTCATGAAAAATCGACCCAAAGAGCCTTCCAAAGATCTTATGGATGTGGGAAAAGGTTATGCATATCTTTTGTGGCAAGCAAAAACGAGACAAAGAGGCTATACACATGTACTAATTAAAATAAATATTTAAGCTTCAAAATATGCAGTTTTTAGTATATAGTTCCTAGAATATTACTGTAGACTGACTATCAATTTTGGTGTGCAAAACTGACAACTTGAAAAGGTATGGAGGATGGATCTCAAGCAATGAAAAATTTCAAAGATGTGAAATTCGGTAGGACTGCAAGATTGGATTATAGACCATAGACCTCATTACATTCTGCTTTGTTGCACACACTAGTTCCTGAAAGTAAAAGTAAGGCGCTCCCCAGATAAAAGGGGATTCTTTCATCTACTATGATATGATTGGTTCTGAGGAAAAACTATCACTCTATCCAAGTTTGCTACAAGCAGGAATTTTGAGGCTTGTCTAGTCTACAAAATATCTTAGCAAAAGCATTAGAATCCCGTGGAAAGCCGTATTCGATGACAGTCGTATGTATGGCTTGGAGAGATTAATTTCAGTTGATTTTCTTTAAACATTAGGGGGTTTCTTCCAAATTGATGTTTATTTTTTATTTTCAACACAAAACACATTTTGATCACCTGAAACTTGACTGAAGGAAACCTTTTTGGTCCTTCACTGCTATATATTTTTCTAAACAACGGTTTGAGTACAGAATACGTAAAGTATTTTATAACTTTTTCTCTACATTCCCACTATACAAAGTAAGTAAATAATTTGATAAAATCAAACTAAACTGATAAAAGAAAGAAGAAGAAAAAGAAGCCATTTACAGATTCAAGAGAGAGACAGTGCACTTGAATAGTCAGGAATTAAGGATCTGTACTTACTCAACTATCTAATTGTGTGCTTAAATTGTGAAACCAGTAAGTAAACAAACCAAGATGAATACAAAAATATAGGCAAAGCTTCTGCCTCGCATCAAGTAAAAGCAACAACAACAAAACTTCATTTCTCATTCACAATTCCAAAGACAAAGTAGCAGCAGCTAGACCAATAGTGATTTGCAAGAAAAATTGGCAACAACTCCAATTCTGTGTGTACCTTAATTTGTGTTTCCTCAAAGGCAAAGAAGAACCCGATACAGATTGCTGTGTTGTGTTTGTAAGTAACAGCGTGAGAGAGAGAGAGCGAGAGAGCCTGTGGTTTTGCAGGTTAGCTTAGAGTGTGAAAAGTGGTGTGACTGTTTGTTTTGTATGTATATATATATAGCCTATTACGAAAGGCTGTTTGGGCATTGATTACTTCACAGGTAGCCACCTGTCAGTCTATTCGTCAACACGGAAAGGACCGAAATTTTACACGGACGGACCTTAAACCTTTGCGTACGTATCCATGGTTGTCTTCAACTCCCTCCCTTCCACGTCGGTTCTTAATTCTCCAACACTTGCGACAGCTGCGACTTGACAAATATCACACTTCTGACGCGGTTTATTGGAAGTTTTATTTCATTATTTCCTGTAGTCCCCTTTGAAACTAAGTGATCCATTTTACCCTCCTACCTGACCAACCATTTTATTACCTACCCTCAACTTCATCCAAAAATCTATTAATTTTGATGATGTGACGTGAATATTTTGGTAAATTTGCACAATTGAGCCAATTACTCGTCAAATTCGGAGACTTATCTGGCAAATTGAAGCCTTAGTGTTGAATGTGGCTTTTGCTTGCGTAATTTTGCCCCAAATTGGGGAGATGATGATGAAATTGGCCCTACTTGTGAGTAGTTATAATATAGTATGGGAGTACGGTCATGTTGTATAACTTGTATTGTGCTTTTTCACTGTGAAATTCATAATTAACCACACCATAATATAAACCACACTTGGATAGAATAATATAAACAATAAATAAAAATAGTGCACAAGAGATTGACAAGGTTCGGCAAAATAATGCCTACATCCCCGAATAGAGTACTTCACTATGAGAATACTAACAGTATAAGATACACTTGAGTTAAATCAACATAACCCAAACCCGAAACCCTTGTACACCCACTCACAATGTTTACCAAGAACAGTATCTCTCACCCACATATTTCTCCCTGTTTTTCACTCTCTAACTTTCTCACGAAATGCAACCAACACAAAACAAGCTACACTTCTATTTATATAGAAGCCCTGAGTGGGCACCAAGCTAGGGAGAAGCGTCTGCAACAAGCTTCCTTCAATATGAAGACTTTACCTCCTCACAACTTTTACCAAAGCCATCATTGCATGAAACTACCACTTGATGCACTGCCTATTAGCTACACCAAAAGTCAAAGATTGCTACACCATATTTACCTTGTAGATTATCCCACACTTTTAACTTGTGGGTCCAATTACCATAATATTTTCACCAGTTTTAACAATCTCCACCTTGGTGAAAATGCCATGCAAAACTCGGAGCAGCACCAAGAATAATTAAACCATTGGCCTTCACAAAACACACCAGCTACACATCACATAAATCAACAAATTTGGTCCAATCCCGATTCATGTTACACGGCCAATAAACATGTGTAGCGGCACCAAGCTAACTCCGCTAGTTAGCTTCATAGGAAGGTCTCGATGCACCCTCGTCTCCCCAACAAGCTTTATCCCCTCACAATTGTCTCTACCATGAACACTTGTCAACACTTCCCGTTTCCAGCAACAACCCATCGAGATCTTCATAGTACTACCATCCCGACAATACGAACCACCACACTTCCTCCCTTTCATTAGGACTAATCCACCACGTGTGATTTCCATGGCTCCACTTGCAACAAAGTATTTGCATCCCAAAGAGTTTAATCTTTTAAGAGATATTAGATTCTTTCTCACCTTTGGTACATATGCCACATCACCTATTGTGTGAACCACTCCATCATACATCATTATTTTGACAGTTTCAAATCCTTAACTTTGCAAGAATATCCATCACCCATAAAAAGGTGACCATCCTTACATTCATGGAATGTGTCAAAATAATCTTTCTTGGAGGAAACATCCATAGTACAACCAGAATCTAAAACCCAAGCATCATTAGGAGAAGTGTTTTTACCTTCGGATACCATGAGGACAAATCCGAAATCTTCTTCTGCTACAAGAGAATTAACACTTGAACCACCTTAATCTTTTTTCTTATTTTTATTCATAGGACAAAAACGCTTGATGTGACTAAATTATTTACATCCGTAGCACATCACACTCCTTCCTCTAAAACTAGATCTAAACCTGTTGTCTCTCTCAGATTTGTCATAAGATGTCCTTTAGCAATTCCTTCCTTAAACTGCTAACGTAGACTCGTGCCCACCATCACTACTAGATAATTTCTTCTATGTATCAAGGGACACCAATGATGCATGTACATGTTCCAAGCTCACTGTATCTTTACCATACAACAAAGTTGTAACAAGATTTTCATACGTATCGGGAAGAGAGGAAAGAAGGAAAAAGGCCTTATCTTTTTCCTCAGTCTTAACATCAACTTTTTGCAGTTGACCCATGCATCTGTTGAACATGTTCATGTGGTCCATTTGATTCCCACCTTCCTCCATCTTCAGCTTGTACATTTTCCGCTTCAAATGTAACTTGTTGGTTAGGCTTTTAGCAATATAGAGCTGCTCCAACTTCTCCCACAGAGCAAGCGCAGAACCCTTATCCATAAAATTATAGATAATGTTATTAGCAATACAATGTCGTATTGTGCTAACACACCGTGACTCTAGCTTTTCCCACGTCCCATCTTTCATTCCTTCAGGCGTTCCATCTTTTCCCCTAAGAGGTCTAGCCAAACCTTGTTGGCCTAGAGGTCCTTTACTCTTCTCTGCCAAACAGTAAAGCTGCCTTTACCATTAAATTGCTCAACTGAAAATTGCAAGTTGTTGCAATGCTCATGGTGAACAAATCTGAATCTCACATGAACCAAGGCTCTGATACCACCTGTTGTGCTTTTTTTACTGTGAGATTTAAAAATAACCACACCACAATATAAACCACAATTGAACATAATAATATAAACAAAGAATAAAGACAGTGCACAATAGATTGACGAGGTTTGACAAAATCATGCCTACTTCCTCGGATAGAGTACTGGTTTAATCTTTAGCTAGACAAGTGTAGGGCTTAGATTAGATCACATGGTGTATGACTCATATGTCTTAGATTTGTGCCAAGTGTCAAGCTTATATTGTTGACACATTTGTATGGCTGAGATACATTCTCTGCCTTGTAAAAGAGAATGTTTCCGTTAGAAAGAATCAGAGTGCACAACTATGATTTGTGCTGGTTAACTCTCTCTAGATTAATCTCAATTAGGCTTTTGAATTGAATACTAAGAACTAATCTTTCTTTTGTAGGAAACATCTAATGCTTTCGCTTTTGAGTTGGATGGACCTTGAGAGATGATGTTAGTTATACATGTTCTAACCACAAAATAAGGTTTATGTTCTCCTCTTGTGTGTGCCATCAACCCTTTTGAAGCCAAACACGTGGCCTTTTCTTTCATTACCCACAATATTCCTTACCATTTTCACCCTATTTTTAGCCATACCTTATGTGCATGGGAGATGCCATGGTAAGTAAAAATAAGGATGAAGGTTGAGCTCTACATCAGCAAAAGAGGTGGCATGTGCTAAGGAAATATGTGCTTAAAGTTCAATTTTAAAAATAAAAAATTTAAAAAAGGGGGAAAGAAGAAAGAAGAGATGCATTCAAAGTTTAAGTCAAGGAAGTGAAGCATATCAATAATCTTGGATGCCTTTGTAAAGTAAATTTGAAGAGCCAAGCCATATAACAAGATAAATGCCTTGGTATGTCTCAAGTTCTAGTATTCCCTGTTCCTTTATTTCATAACCCATAACCAAGCCTTACATTACAAACATAATAAAGATCTTTGGGGACATCTTGCTTGAAAGTGAGGGTATATAATTTATCTATGGTTCTTGATATTTGATTTCCATTCCATGAGATACATTTCTAGAAATTGCCTTTTGTTCATTTTGGATGCATATGTGTCTTATGTTTTGACTTCTTTACATATGTGGGGTAGGTGTGTAACCCTAAGTTATGTGTGAAAATTGAGTGTTATCCAGTGAGGCCTAGTGTCGAGGCGAATTTGTGCACACGTCGAGTGTGGTTATCTTGAACTTAAAGTACCTTGAAGTATTGGCTTTACACTTTACACTATGGTGCATTTTATTTGTAGTGGCATAACTTTAGTTTTGGAACTTTGATTAGCACTCATTGGTTATTATTAGTTGGTTGGAAGTACTACTTTAACGGATTTGTTTTGCAAGGAGTGTTTGTGGGCAAGGATTAAAATATCGGCCGTGCAGATAATATCGAGCCTCCAATTTACAGATATTTCGGGGGATATATTGTATCGTTTTAGGTATCGGGAAAAAATCAACAAAAATGACAGATATAGGCATTGAAACACATAATTTTGGTATAAAACTTTCATAGATGTTATGTACATTATCAATGAATGTATTGAACAAATAAAACTCAAAATTTACTAATAATAAGATATACATATGATGAAATATAAGTGGTATGTAATGCCCTAATGAAAAGTTTGAAAATAAAATGTTAATTAGAATGAATAAACCAGGCATAAATCCATAGTTTGTTTAAACATTGGATTACAATTTAGATAAGTGTCCATCTACATAAATGAAGAGCTCCTATGAGGTTCAAATAATGACGAATAACCATCTAGATTCATACAATAGTCATACCAAGTCATGTAACCGGAGCAGTTTGTAAGTCATGTTTGAACATGGTGCACATAGGTCTCTCTTGAGCTCCCTATTGTCCTCCCATATATGGGATAGTTAGAATTATCCAACTAGTAGGTCTATAATCTGTTTTATCATCTTAAGCTCCATAACTAGTTCCACTATAATCATACATGACATAACCATAGCTATCATAAGATTCATTTGAATTAGTATTAGGTCTAGTTCCTATGCTCATAGATGCAAAACTGATTGTCATGTCCTCTTCAGATGAATTAGAGGTATGTGGGCAGTGGACTATACATAGATTCTTCATATTAATAAATTATAGGGTTATGGGCAAGGATTAGCTATTTTTGGGTTTCAATTTGCTTCAATTGCCTTCAAAACTTCTGATTATTTTTTGGGTTATGCTATGGGTATCGGGAAATATTGGGGATATCGACAAAATATCGGGGATATATCGTCGATACAGGGGAAGATATGGCCTTACCCCCCCAATATCGGTGTCGACAGTTGAAAATACCAATATATCGACAGATATATCGGTGTATCAGCCGATATTTCAATCCTTGTTTGTGGGTATCGTGACTCATAAACCCTCAAGAGACACAATTCCTCATAATAGGGACACTTAGAGGTTTAAAGGCTTGTGGTGCAACTTTTCATCAATCATAATGTTTCTCAATAAGTCCTTCATGAACTAATTTCTTTTTCATGCAGTCGTCGCCCTCGATTACTTTACCAAATGGGCGGAGGCAGAACCATTGGCAACTATCACAGCAGCCAAGGTGCAGAACTTCGCATGGAAAAACATTGTTTGTCGTTTTGGCATTCCCTACACCATTATCATTGACAACAGAAAGCAGTTTGACTGCAACAAATTTTGCGACTTTTGTTCTAACCTCAAAATTAACCTCTGATTTTCATCCCCAACCCACCCACAAGGAAACAGCCAGGTGGAGGCAGTTAATAAACTCCTCAAGCGAATGCTTAAGAAAAAATTGGGGGCTAAGAAAGGAGCCTGGTCAGAACTCCTATCAAAAGTCTTATGGGCTTACCGCTGCACCGAGCGCACCTCCACAAGTGAGACCCCATACTCGCTCGCTTTCAGAGTCAAGGCGGTCATCCCCATTGAGGTCAGCATCCCTACGTACCGAGTCAAACACTACACACCCGAGCATAATTCAGAGCAACTCACCTTCAGCTTGGATATGTTGGAAGAACATCGACTCCGAGCTGCCCTTCATCTCGCCACATATTAACAGAGAGCAATTCGACACTATGACTAGCATGTCCGTTATAGCAACTTCTAACCCATACTTGGTTCTCTGAAAAATACTACTTGGAACCAAGGACAAGACGGCTGGTACTCTGGGGGCTAACTGGGAAGGATCGTACCAAGTCCTTGACATTGCTCGCTCAGGCACATATCGACTCATTGAATTAAATGGCAAGGAGTTGCCCCATCCATGGAACGTCGAGCACCTAAGGAAGTAGTATCCTTAAGTAGCAAGGTGTGACCTCCCTCAGGCACACAGAGTATTTTTGTCTTCCCTTATCGCCTACTCTGTTTTCCCATTGAGCACGAGCACGAGCACGGTATTGGACTACCCGAACCAGTGATGTGCTCAGCCTGCAATCATGTGTAACTCTACCTTTTGTAATTAATGAAGTTGAACTTTAGTTTCCCCATGTTGATTCTGGTCGTTTCTTTATTTCTTTGGTCGTCTTGTCCCAAGTCACTATTAGTTTACTTTTTAAAAGCCTTTGGTCGGCTTTGCTTACACAAACAATGCACATGCATGCTAACAAAAGCAAAATTGTAAAAATCACTAAGTCGTATCACCAAACAAATTAATTAAAACATACACCGAGCACGTCCACATTCATCGAGACGATCAATGGCTAGGCAAGTTGTTCCAAAATGTTTTTACAGGTGTTACAACAAAAGAAAAGCAAAAGCGCATCTATTCTAGGCACCTCTCGCTTCGTCAAAAATGGTCACCACCGCATCATGGCTCGGCGCCTTGGTCAATGGGGTCGGATCGACATCAGGCTCGGCAGTTGTGTTGCCACCCTGGGCCAATAAGTCAGACTCCTGAATCACCTCCTCAGTACCTCCACAGTCACCCTACTCAACAATGACCTCCTCCGCTTAGTCATCTAAGAAACTCCAGTCCAGGGAAGGATACTTCTCCCCAACTTTCTCAATCAAGTCAAAGTATCCCTCAACCCTCTGACCTGCGAGCTTCTCCTAGTACTCAGTCGAGCAGACATAGTTGTTCACCGCGTCATCACAGCACGTTCGCAGCTCAAAGGCGAAAGCCTCGATCTTCTGTTTCGCTTCACTCAACTCGGAATTCGCAGTGGACAACTCCGCACTCACGCCCCGCTTCTCCTCGGCAAGTTTGTTCATTGAAGACAGTAGCTCAGCATTCTTTCTCATCTCTGCTTCCAGCCGATCCTGCATGAGCAACAGCTCCTCCTCCACCTTAGCTTTTTCACCAATAGTCTTGCTCAGCTTGACGGCAGTGACAACTTGCTCATCCTTCTTGCCTCGATTTAATTCGCAGTGGGTGCCATGTTTTGAGTGGCAATAAAGAGCTTCAAGGTAGCCTGCAATGACAATCCAAATCACAAATGGAACGGCCATGTTTAAAGGGGACAATGGGTACAACCTTGTCAGAACACATTACCTTCATCCGGTCCTCCAAAGCTGCCATAGTCATACCGTTATATCCCATCTCCTCGGTGAACAAGCCCTCCACGACTTCCACCTTCAACATTCGCTTCACCGCCTCATGATACGAACTGAGCACCAGTTTCATGTCCACCCAGGGCTCTAGAGGGCCAGTCACCGGGTCCACACTTGTCCTCTTGCCCACCTCAGGCACCAACGCGATCAATGGGCTCTTGCTTGTGTCCCGTCTCGGCTTTTCTTTAGCATGTCTTTTCCCTACATCTCTTCTGGCCCCTCTCAAGCAGAGCCCACGGCCGCGCTTATCGCTCAACTCTGAGCTACTGACATATGCGGGAAACCACTAACCTGAGGCTGTTACGACCCACTAGCCGACCTACTCAAGGGCCCCTTCTTCGCCAGCTTCATCAATCTCGCTTGCATGGTCGGATCGTTCCGATTTGGCCTCATTGCTGAATCGACAGAGGCATTATAATGGTTATTGCATTACTACTGTTTAAACACTAAAAAAGGGAATACGGAGGGGAAGAGCAATAACTTATCAACTGAACCGCTCAGACCTCCACTCGCCAGCAGTATATCAGCCCTTTCTCAGTGCTTGGCAAGGCGAGCACTTGGTCAACCTGCTCCTGCTCGGCAGTAGAGATATCGACTAGCTCCAACTCCACTGCAATGACCATGTGTTAGACTCTTCACATATGTCAAAGGGACCCAAAAAACAACAACAAAGAGAACGAGCACATAGAAAAGAGGTATGAGACTTAAAAGAATCCGACACCACAACTCGACCTAGCATCCTAAACCGCCTCTATATTTTAGGTCGCCTCGGCTCTGCCCCTTCGAGAAATTCCCACGCCCCCGACACATATAACCAATGTGGTTTCCACGTCTTTTGGGAAGAGGGATTGCTCTCAATCATCTTCCCCACCGCACTTTGCAGATAGCAAAAGCCAACATGGTACGGACTCCTCTTCAATAAAAAGTAGTGCAACATCTGGTTTATGGTCGACTCACTTACCATTGTCCTATACACATTCAGGTTCATATGATGAGGGGCCACTTCGAGCTGAGCCATCCATTCCTAGAGGAAGGAAGATAATGGCAGTCGAACCCCTTGCTTGAACATATCGGCACATAAGGTTACCCAGCCAAAGGGTGGTGTGCTCAGCTTCTCATTCCCTGTGGGTGCTCTCAGCCTCACACTGCTCGGGATGTCATGCCTCTCTCTCAGCTGATCTAGCTTCCGCTGTGTCATCGTGCTCGGATGCTCATCAGCCAACCATTCTTTCTTGGTCCGGTCCGTACCCATGTTGCTCTCTACCGCCCCACCCTAGCCAGCTACGACCACTGTGACTTCCTATATGGCTTCCCCCTGACCCCCTACTTCGCCTCGCTTAGCACCCCCACCCCCTCGGTCCTCAAAATTCCTACCCAGATCAATGGGCATATCCTCACCCATTTGGTCGACTGCCTCGTACATTTGGTTCACCACATCTTCATCCACCACATCTTCATCCTCCCCATCATCTCTAAAAGCCGACCCGTTGCTAGGTGTTTCTTACGAGTCAGACATATTTCACACCGCTCCTAAAGAAAACACAACTAAGGATGAAAGATCGGGGTTCACAAATCCAAATATACCAAAATAAGAACTACACTCGATGAACACAACTCCCAAACCCAGAAATGTACGCACATACTCAAAACAACACTTGAAATCTAGGCAAACCAAAGGAAGAGGAAGAAAAGAAGGAAGAGGAAGGAAGGAAGAGAAAATACCAAAAAAAACACGTGGAAGCTCTCCTCTGCAAACAAAAGACGCTACTCAGCAAAATTTCCACAAAAGCTCTCAAAGGGCAACAATGGCGAGAAAATGGCGAAGGCTGGCTGCTCCTGCCTTTTATACAGCCCAAACTGTGCATCCCCACCGTCTATACCTCTCATATCCTCGCTCAAATGCGCACACGTGGAGCCTCGCCAACTCCTATCAGACGAAGCGATAAGACGTGAACCGACGCGAGTACCCCAATTTCAAAACCTGGCGCCAACGACTCAAAGGTGACCTTCTCGGCTGGGGACTTGGGGCTACATAACCCGACCATATCTGCACCAAATGTGATCTGAAATAGGCTAAGCTCACTCAAAATTCAAAATCTAAACTCCCTACCCAAGATCGGCTCTTTGAGTTGAGAGTTGGGGGCTACTGTTGATAGCTTATACAATCACCATAAGCCAAGCTTGTTATGAATCGCCACGTGGCCGTAATAAGTCACTTGTCTACCGACCCGACCATATACGAATCATGTGTTGCCATTGCCAACCTTCCCAGTTAGAGGGCGATGAACCTGGGGATTAGTCCAGTGCTTGGGTATTTGAATATCTACCCGATCACTAAGGCGAGCATCCTAGGCCCGAGGCGCGCTAAATGACCAGCAGACCTGACTAGGCCCCTGTCAAGCCAATCAACTTTGTCCCTGCGATACACAACCTAGTGAACAAGAATGTTGATTAAATGCACGTCCCATCCTCAAACAGGAGTCGCCTTATCCATTGATCTCCTAGTGAACAAGTAGGTGATGGAGAGGGATCATTTAATTCACCTCTCATCCTTGGTCGCCCGTCACTTTGCCACCTGACCTTTGTCCAGTTATATGGTGATCAGAGACAAAACATTCAATGTAACTTAGGCTAGGGGGATATGAGATAAAGATCTCTTCAATAAAATATCTTGGTCCCTCATTCTCCCTATAAATACCCTTCGCCTACACCAGGACAAAGGTAATAAATATTTTCATTGTGAAAACCCTACATCCATTCTCTACAAGAACATTTTCTGACTTAGCCATCGGAGAGGGCTTAATTGGGATCAACCCCAGTTTTGCTCTTGTTATGATATTGTTCTTAGTGTACATATCTTTCCCCGGAAATCATCCATCAACGGGATCAGATATGTGTCCAGACCCCTGCCTGAAGTCCAAGTCCACTACACGAGAAGGATACACGATTTACAGAAGTTGTAAATGAATCTAAATTTAATCGTTGGTATCACTTTAAATAATCGTATATTATTTGAATCGTGATTATTGATATAAGAAATACGTGTGGCGTGATTATTGATATAAGAAATACGTGTGGCTTGATCCTTCACCAAAGGGTACGTAGGTAGCCTGGGGTCACCTAGGTGTAGCTGTGACTTAAATTATTACTGTTGTTGAGGTTGGTTTTGAATAATTCCCTCATGATTTTCAGTTTTGCTCCCCTAGGCAGTAGCTTGATCTGAGCCGAGCAATCGATCCAAGAACTGTACTTTCGTGCCCTGAACTTCTATAGCGCATTTCTATTTGTTTAATTTCTGTTGAACTTCATTTTGATTGTAAATTGAAGTCTTCCTTAGAATTGCTCTGTTATCACCCATGTAGGGTTGGATTTAAGGCCGAAGGCCTATTCTGTAAACTATATGTGTTTACATTGTGCGTGCTGCCAATTGGACTATTTTTACTATGTTTCGATAGGTTGAAATTGTGGGAAAAGTCCGTTTTTCAGGGGAGATTCTGCCGAAATTTCAATAGAAAGTCTCAAGCCTCTTTTCCTTTGTTTTAGAAGAAAAGGGTGTTGTTAGTAAGTGGGCTCGGCATCGGTTGGATGTCAGAAAAACCACAGGGTTCGTCATTGATTTCGAGGAATTCGAGGCTGTCAATTGCCGCCGCCTATATTGCTCACCTCTCTCCATATTTTCTCCACTCAACTCCAGCCACCACACGGGGCTTCGGCCACCCGATTCCCACCATACATACATCTCCTAAATTCAATCGAACTTAGGCATCGGAGAGCCTTTAGCCAACACCCCCCAGGTGTGGTCTATTTACTCCGTTCTTTTTTACAGGAATCGAGGAGGAGAGAGAAAGAAGTTCAAAGGGGAAAGAATCTAGAAGCGAATATGCTCCCGAGAGATTATTTGCACAAACAATTAGCATAAAGCTTCCTATGGACTTCAAGTAACCAATGATTCGACTTTATGATTGATCTTATGACTCAATTGATTTTCTAAATGATTTTTGATAGTAAATGAATGTAAAGGATGCTAAAGACCCCATGAAGTGTCGAGCTTTCCCTTTTCTCTTGGAAGGATCCACTAAGGATGGTTCAAATCCTTGAAACTTGATTCCATTAGCTTATTTGACCCAACTCAACCAAAGTTTCATCAATCAGTTTCTTTCTGCATCAAAGAAGAGGCACCCAACCAACTATCTCTTGAGAATTAAGTAAGACCCTAATGAAATGTTATGAGAGTACATCAACCGCTTCAACCAAGAAGTAATCAGTTTCTCAAGCTGCTTCAAGGACACATCCTATACAAGTCTTTTGGCTGGATTTCGGAAAGGGAATTTCCTATTCCATGTCAAAACAATAAACACCTAAGAGTTACAAAGACTTTGTGTCTGAGGCGTATCGTCATGTCATTGTTGATGGTGCAAGATGAAAGCATGGAAAATGTTAAAGGAAAAACAAGCACTAACCCTAAAATTAATGAATTGTAATCCACTAGAAAAGATAGAAAATCTTAATAGTTTTATTAGCAATATGAATTAACTTAAGAATAAGAACTTCATAAAGTTGTTTTAAGGAAAAAAAAAAATTTATAAAATCGTAAGAAATCCTAGATTCTGGAATATTCATAAAACTTATCTAATAAGAAAATAATATATAGGTGAAACAAATCCTAACTTATTCTATACATATAAAATAATAAAGTAAATTAAATATAATTCTTCCCAAAAATTTATTTTTGCTTCAAAGCTAATCAAGCAACCTAAAAATCTCAACGCCTCCTTTCTATACACCATATGTAACACCCCGAGCCAATTTAATTGTCTCTATCTAATTTTGTCTTGCATATTTATATAATTTGGATTATTGAGTTTATGAAGTTATAATATTGTTTATTTTGTGGATTAGAGTGTTTTATGGAATTATTGGAGTTTATTTTGACATTTGGAGTTTATGAATATTTTGGGTTATGGAATTTATGCTTTTGAGAGTTTGATATCTATATTATGTATAAATATTGGGTATTGAGTTATGGACACTATTATTGTCTGGAAGTCTATGTGTATGGGTTTGGGTACATTGGGATTATTTGGGAATTGGTTATGGTTAGGGTTATGGTATATGAGTTGGGATGTAGGATATATTATATTGGCGTACTGATAGCACCACCCTATGTACCTCCCTGGCACTTAACTACTTGGATATGTCGGAACCCGAGCACCCTTGACGAGGTGTTTTGCAGGCCCTTGGCCAGGCAGTCTGCACCCATAGGACTTTGTTCAGCTGCACGAGTATTCAAGATTCTGCTGTGCTTGTCTGGGAGCCCAGTCCCCCAATTGGATGGCTCGTCCCTAGCCAAATGGTTATTGAGGATTCTTCCATGTGATTTAGTCAAACAATCCCCTGGTTGGATTGTTTCCCCAGTACAAGTTTGATAGTGGTCATACATATATGTATATGTATATATATGTACACACACACACACACACACACACATACTTTTATTCTTATTTACTGGTGAGGATCCTTCCTCGCTTTCTGTGCCTACAGGCATGCGTTTTGGAAAAGAGTGGTCTGGGAAGGGAAAAAGGTCCTATTTGAGTTTGTGTTATATGCTATATTGGGATTATGCGATATCTTGGTTTTAAAGTCGATTTTGTTATATAAATACGTATATGGGTATTTATGTGAGTACATTTGTGGACTTGTTTTCGGGTTGAGTTTTCTGAGCATGTGCATCGAGACTGCTCTACAAGGTATGGATTTTTGAAATGAGGTTTGGATTTGAAATTGGCTATTTTTAAATTATTTGACATTTTATGTTTGCAAGCATACACCTAAGAAAGAGTATGGTTGCAGAAGAAAAAGGATATTTTGGGTTTTGATGTTTATATTTTACATTAACGGGATTATTTTGGAAGTTTCAATTATATGATATTGTTTGGGCCAAAAAGAAATCTAAAAATGCGCTAGCCCATCTTCGCAAAGAAAGGCCCATAAAACAGAAAAGAACAAAGGACTGGGCTTTGATTCCAAAAAGAGAACCCAATCCACAATAGAAGCCCACGTCTTTTACGAAATGGCAGAGTTGTATAAAACGCCAAAATAAATGGCAGTTGACAACCAAGCAGGTTGATACAAATCTAAAAGAAGAATTGAATTGGGCCCAGCTTCTTAAAATGCTCACCATGACTTTGAAAAAGTCGATTCTCAACCCACGTGATTGCCTGACTTTGAAAAGTCAACAATATCAACTATCACAGAGAAGCTAGCAGAGAGTTAATGAAGGCAGGTATAATAGGAAGACATCTCTGAATCTCTGCCACTAGAAGATCAAAACCCCTTTTCTATATATTTCTACATCAGGATAGGCATCGTTTCCAAGAGATAAGCAGACTACATTTTCTAAAGAGATAAGTAGAGTGCAGGGAGTTGTTCATCTGGAAAATCAAACTAACCATCACGACAGATTGAATTCTCACAAGAGCAGTTGAAAATTAAAGAAAGATCAGGTTTTTCTTTCAAAGAAAAGCAGGGAAGTGATTGCCCTAGAACTGACTATTGATGGTTTATTTGCCATAATAGATAAACTTCCTTTTTCTTTGACATTTAAAAATGAAAAGATCTTGTTTTTTAGGAAATCTGCCGCCCATTTTAAAGATTAAAAAAAATCTCACTCCAGCATTTCCTATAAATATGAGAGAAGGTGAACAGATCAAATGACAGCCAACAAAATCAATCAAAAACAAAAACTCAAAATGATCACTTGATCTCAAAAACCTTCAAAACACTAAAGTAACCAAAAGCTCATTGAGCCACAAGAAACAAATCAGCTACAATTCAGAATCTCTAACTCTAGTTCATACTTAGAGAAATAAGTCATTCAAAATGAGATTTCTCTCGTTACAAATTTGGTTCAGCATAAGCCAAATCAAGCAGAGTTCGGGTTTTACAAATATGAAAACCTCAACAAATTTATGGAGAGCCCTGATTAAGCAGAACAGGTACAACAGTACAGTTCCAGCCCAGTAATCCTCAAGTCCAGCCACTTCTGCCCCTTATAAACGGAAGAGGTCCCAATTCTAGCAGTTCAAAAAGCCTTCCAGGGTTTGAAATAGATTAAAGCTCTGCCAAACTCGAACGTTGGTATCGATTTACAGTTGAAGTTGTTGATAGTCTAGTCCAGCACATGCATATTTAGTCCAGCCGGATCAAAAGCAACTATTAGGCAGAAATGGAAGCTCAGTTTTCTTTTTGTCTTTCTAGAGTTGGTTTTTCCTTTTTGAGTTTTGTAAAAGTCAGTTCTACCTAAAAACAATTTACTTTCTTATCATTTATTCTGGCCAGAACTACTAGTTTTGTACTGTGAAAAATTGTGAAGTCCTCACCAGTCTGAGGCAAAAAAAGAACTTACTTGAGAGATATTCCTCACCCAAATTCACAATCGCTTGTTTAGAAATCAGTAACTTGGGGCGCAAGTTATCTATTTAAAGAAGTCTGCTAGGATTTTCATTGCTAGCAGTGGCACGCTCGCACACAAAAGAAAGTTGACTTGTTGACCAATCAAATGGTTTTCGAGCCAATGAGGAACTTTACCCTACCATCACAGGGGCAAACATAAAACAGGTGAACATATATTACAATAAAGACTAAATGATTATGTTCGTGTTTTCCAAAAAAGTGAGAAGTATTAATTAAATGGATTACTTTATCGTATATTTTGTTATAAGTATACTAAATTGGACTATTTTCAAGGATCAGTTCGTATATATGTACGCATACAAAGGATGTTGTTGCTTGGCATTATTTTCTAAAACAAAGGGGTTATTTATGTTGCATATAAATTACGTTAAACACTTTGTTTTCATCCACTCACATTTTATGTTTTGCGCCCCCAGGTTCTAGATATCCTAGGTCGAGACCACCACGTCGAGGCATCGTGGCGGCCCGCTCTGTAAGAACTTCTTCTTTATCTTTTTCCTACTTTCCTTCTTCCCCGGTTATAAATTAAATCTTTAGTTGCTCTGGTTGCTCGTTTGAGTCTGGGTAGAAGGCGTGAGGCCCATTTCCTTAATTTTAGCTGTTGTGTGTGCCATTACCTTGTGCATGCTGGAAATTGGGGTTATTTTTGTACTTGTTTGTAGAAATTGTTCCAATTACAGGGGAGACTCTGCCGAAATTTCGGTGGTCGAATCGTTTATCCATTTAAATTAGGGCTACAAGGGTTTTTAGTAATGTGGGTCTGGCATCGGGTAGATGTTGGACAGAATGCAGGGTTCGTCACCATAATTCACGCTCAAGTATGATTTTCCATATTTGAAATCCTTTTTCTGATTTTGAATAGCTTTTCTAAATCTTCTTCGCAAAAAAAAATAAAAAAAAATCCATATGTTGTCATATATCAGTTGAAGAGATGACATTTAATACACCAAAGGGAATATATTCATCTTGGCCTTACTTAGGGGATAAACGAAAAAAAGGGTGAAATAATACACATGATTGACTAAATAACTATAGAAAGGGCGATTTGAGAAATATCATACGGTTTTGGTCGGTGCCACACAGATGTCCCCCATTTTCCATTTTTGGAAGGTTATGGAAGACTTGGTTAGTCACACTGACCTAGTTCAAACAAATTGCTTGACCTCAACCTCAAGAGGTTATCCCGTTGTTTAGACAAAATTCAGGCATCAACAACTTATATGGTGTCATTATTATTTACTTAAGTTGAGTTAAGTGTGGATGTTTAGATTCGAAGTAGAGAATTAAATTTTATCATACTATGATTTCATATAATTTAATAAGAAAAATACTTGTGTCCTTCCCTAGAGGCAGGGACGGTCCTATGACTTGTACAACCTGGGCTATAGCCCAAGTGAGTTTTTATTTATTTATTTCTTATAATTAGTGTTAATGTTAATCCCATTTATAGCAGAAATATTTATTTGAACTAATTGGATAATTGTAGTGTTACCTCTAGTTGTCGTGTGTCTATCTGACTCTATCTTTGTGATGATAAATTTTCATTTTTGAATTTTCTTATGAATTTTCTTTTCTATTAATTCATTTTTATTCATCATGGTAGACCTTAGCTGGCATTGTTGGTGTAAAATAGGTATTTTAAACAAATAAAATAAAAATGATATGTTCTTAAATTTTATATATATACATACATATGATCAATTTCATAAGCCTAAAATCTAACAGTTCAATAAGGTAAATCTAGCCCACCCCATTTTAAAATCCTGGGTCCGTCCCTGCCTAGAGGTAGGAATTCCTACTGTCTTGCCTATCATAGTTTGACATGTGTGTAGAAATTTATATTTTTATATTTTTTATGAATTATTTTTGCATATATATAGTGTGATTTGTAGGAAGTATGAATGTCTCTTTCTTAGGAGGGAAGCAGTGTCCATTAAATAACATCTTCAATGAAACAGTCAATAATTAATTTTTTTAATAAATTCCTGACAGAGTTTGTTATTTAATTTTTACTTTAAATTAATCTAATCTACAGAAAGGGGAATTTGAACCTTGATGCAACTCATTGCCCTCGTCAACTGACTTATTTCATATTTACATTTTGACGAAGTTTAAAAATGTTGTTAAAGTAAGTGAAGAGATGACGCAAAATAAAATATGAGACTGAGTGGCCACGGACGTTTTGGGTACAGCAAATCTTTACTGTCCAAAGAGTAGGCAGCTCTCAACCAGAAGCCATTAATTTTGACAAATAAAAAGTCATTAATACCATATTCCAGATCTTGAACAAACAAATCATGGTACGTATAAAAATTCACAACTCCAAGACGAGAACCAACTCTGTTTGCACAGGATTGAATAAAATGACACAAACACCCTCACTCCTCCATCCCGCGTAAGTCATGTAATGTGTGGAGAAACACAGCCGAGATCAAAGGATATATTCGTCCTTTTAAGGAAGTTCAAAAATAGAAAGTGCCACTTCTTTCTCTCTCAGATTTCCCCATTAAGTAATAAACGATATTTTATTTTAAATAAAGTAATAAAGAACATGAAAAGTAACAAAATTCAAAAAAATAAAATAAAATCGCTGCCTTCACGCTCTGTCTCTGATCCCTCTCCCTCTCTTTCCTTCCCAACTTTCCAACACAAAAAGCACATTCTGTTTTCCTCTTTCATTGGTTTCCTTTTCTCTCCTTTCTGGAAACCCTAAGTGTTTTTTTTTTTTTTTTTTTTTTTTTTTTTATTACCAGGTCCTCAGAGGAGAGAATTTTTTTTTTTTTTTTTTTTTTGTAAAATGTTGCAGGCTTTTTTTTTGTTGTTGTTGCAAATTTGTAGTGTATAAGTTGCATTGCTCAGCTGCCCTCGACAATGAACGACCTGCTAAAGGTAATTTATTTCTGTATTGGTCCATTAATTTATGCCGTGGCTGATTTGTTTCTACATTTTTGGAGTTTTTTCATGTTCTGTTTTTGTCTTGATCCGGCTGTCTTTGATGTTATTGGATCTGCGTTTTTAAAAGAGTATTTTGAACTTTTGGATTATGGGATTTTGTTTTTGGGTTGTCTTTGTTTGGTTGTTGAGAAAAGGAGGGAAAGTATAGGAAATTGAAAGTTTTAGAAATAGAATCATGAGGTTTTGCGTTGTCTGGAGATCCCTCCTGAGGAGATAATGCAGTTTGCTTGACTACAAGTGTTTGGTTTACTTCATTCTAGCTCAAACAACATGAACTAGTGTAGACTAGCAAAAAAGAAGAAGGAAAAAGTTGATTTCTTTTCCTCCTTTTCTTCTTATGTTCGGTTTGTCAGCTATGAAAAATAATGGATCTGCATTTCTGTTTGAACCCCTTTAGATCTTTCTAAATCAAACTTTGATGTTATAGTTAATGAGAAGTACATCTCTTTCTCATTTTCGGAATTATGGTGTTGGTTTTTATGAATGTTGTCATATTGATAATTTGAAGGGAGTTTAAACAATTAAAAAGGGAAACAAGGATATGAATGGAAGTTTTCAGACGAGTATTATACTTTTATAAATGCTGAATGGAAGAACACTTTACATAACTGGATTTCATTAGTGATTGAGGCTCGGTTTTTCCTTGTATATCTGGATGGGATTTCCTTGTTTATACTACTGAACGTATACTAGACTGTGTCCTTAAAAAGATAAATAGTGGTGTTACAATGCGGTTGCATAATTCTACAGCATATATAATGTGCGTGTGTATGGATATAATTTTTTAAAAAAAATTTATTTATTTCTGTTTGTATATATTTCCATAGAGTTCAGTGGCGAAAGGATCCATTCAATTGAACTCAAGTAATCTGGATTACTGTGTTTTAGAGTTAAGTTCCTTGTCTGTCTGACCTAATTACTAATTTAAAACTTGCAGGATTCTTTTGAGATCCCTCGGGGTCTAGCATCTAGAGATGGAGATATCGAACTAGGAACAAATGGTTCAATGAATTCTGGAGAATTTGGTTTGGAGAATTTCTTTAAAAAGGTTTCTTAGCGTCCTTGCCTCCTTTTCTTCGATTTCCCTTGAATACATGCAAATGTGATTATTTTATTTTGCTTAAACTTTTCCTTTAGATAAGTATGGAATTTAAAATATGTTTATTTTGTGTTGCTTCTGTCTAATGATTTCATGATTTTTGCCCCCAGGTTCAAGAGATTGAGAAGCAAAATGAGAAGCTGGATAAGCTCCTAAAAAAACTCCAGGTATCTATTCTCTTCAATATGTTTTTTGTACATTGCCAGAACCATGAAAGTTAGTTTGATAGTTCCAGCCTGTTAGTATTTTCCAAATCATTTCGTGATCATGGTTCCTAATGTGTGGGTTATATTCTCTGAGTTTTATAAATTTATTACTCTGAACTATGAGTCATTTTAGTCTTGCTCTTATGAATGTAGCTGTTAGATTTGGTTGAGGATCAATTTATTTTTCCTAGTAGCTTGAAAAATTGAGTCCCATTTTTGTTTAGTGTTGTTGTCTTTGGAATTATGTGTTTGATGCCAGTAGATGGTGGTTCAATGATATTGTAATTGCATTTGTAGGTATATAGATAGGAAGGGTCTTCATTTGGGAATTTTAGTTATGAGGTGATGAACAAATGTAACTACAAGGAACCATATACAATGTTTAGAATTGTATAGCAACTAGACCAAGATTTGTTTATTTGCATGCCGATGGAGCATCCAGATTTGTAATTAAGTATTGTATAAACTATTGTTTGAAAATATTGTGTTAGCTTTTAGTTGCCTTACACAATAGCATAAACAATTAGAAAGTGTTTTTAAAATGAATTTTTGAGATATAAAATGCAGTTTTATGTAATTTCGTTATGAAATTTGTATGCAGGATGCACATGAGGAGTCCAAGGCTGTGACTAAGGCTCCTTCAATGAAATGTAATCTCAGACTTGTTGATTTCTTTATAAAATGCACTTTTATGTAATTTGTTGGGAAATGTTTGGCATTCTCATTTTTGTGTTAAGTGCTAACTTCTTAAAAAGATAGCATATACATGTGCTTATTTGTGGATATAAGGTGTTTCTGTGTGTACTCAAATATGATTTTTTTGTGGACAAGTGGATTTAATAAAGGGGATAGATCACACCCGTAATTTTTTATGGTGTTATCTCTTCTGTTTGCATTCAACAACTTAAATTTGATTTTCTTCCTGATTAAGTCTTCACTAATGATGGATCCTTTCATCACATGCAGCAATCAAGCAGCGGATGGAGAAAGATGTCGATGAAGTTGGAAAAATTGCTCGTTGGATAAAGTCAAAAATTGAAGAACTCGACAAAGAGGTACGTATAACCTGATTCAACAGAAAGCTGCTTTTAATTAAGTGATCATAAGTAATTATAATTGCTCATCTGACTGACCGTTCCTTCTGGGTCCAGAATTTAGCAAATAGACAGAAGCCTGGGTGCGGAAAAGGAACAGGTGTAGATCGATCCCGAACAGCAACAACCCTGTAAGTTGCTACTCCTTCCATTGCCTTGAAAATGTACTTCTTGCGCTCATTTCCTTGTTGGATAAAACTTTATTAATGCTAGGTAATAGTTTAGTGATTGGCCAGAAAAGTAATCATTTTGGTGTTCTTTGTTGTTTTATTATGCATTATAGAAGTATTGCCTCTTGTGGATAATCTATTGATCATTGTGGTTCCTCTTATATTGTTATACTTTAGATGTGTATTTGATTTTGTTATGGGCAAATGTTGCAGTGTTGCAGTATAGTTCTACTTTTCAACATATCTTATCATTTACCGGTGTATTGTTTTCGATTTTAAAGATTGTTCAACCACAACTTCATTTAAGGGGTTTGCTTTTCCTTAATCATTATAAGAACATGTCTGCATGGAACTCAAAAGTCTGACTTAATGGGATTATATTTGTCAATCAACCAAATCTGACTTTGTCAAGTGTCCATTGCGATCTATTGTTATAGTGCCTTGAAAAAGAAATTAAAGGACAAGATGGCTGAATTTCAGGTAGGTCATGTACCCACATTTTCGTATAAGATTAGTGTTTTAATCTTTTTTCTTTCATCTTCTATTATATTCTCTCAATTTTTTATTTATTTAAAATATGTAGACTCTAAGAGAAACCATCCATCAAGAGTATCGGGAGGTTGTTGAGAGGCGAGTTTTTACAGGTTTGAACCTTTCACTTGTCACTCATGTGTGGCTATTACTTCTGAAACTTGATGCGCCAGATTTCTCATGACCTTAACAACTTTTTTTTTCCCTTGCTTTTTGTGATTATCAGTAACTGGCACACGAGCTGATGAAGAGGTGAAACTTATTGCACTGTTAAAATTCCAGTATATCTCTACCATTGTAAAACCTCATGTTCTAATTAGTTATCAATGTACAGACAATTGAAAGATTAATTGAGACAGGAGACAGTGAACAAATTTTTCAAAAGGCAATCCAGGAACAAGGACGAGGCCAGGTTTGTCACTTTTTTCATTGTTACCCTCTCTTCCCCTAATTGAGAACGTTTAACTATCAAAATTGGAAATTTTGAGAACTTGAGCAATTTTTTTTGTTGACATATCAGACAATTTAGTCCAAACTGCAATCTCATCTGCTGAAGTTGTTAGCTTGGTCTAATGAATCATCAGATTTACTCATTTGTATTTTCTTTTTCCTTTTTCTCATTTTTTTTCTTCTCCTTTTTGTTAAAGTGAAAATTATACATTTGGGAGATACCATGAGCCACTAACCAATGATGGTTAAGATTGATCACATCTGATTTCAATATTCGTTTATCAAATTGTAGATAATGGACACTCTAGCTGAGATTCAAGAGCGCCATGATGCGGTTAGAGATCTTGAGAGGAAGCTTCTTGATTTACAACAGGTATCTTATTAGTTTGTGCAATCGTGCTTACTATTTGAGAAAAATATCAAGTTGCTATATAACGCAGATGTCTAAGCCTAGGCCTGAGAATTTTAAAGTTTGCTTTGCCATGTTGATTATATAGAATCAAACTGTTGAATCTTGCTTCATGGTGTTCTGTAAGAATGTGAAGGATCAGTTTGATCCTGAGGTTGTCTCATGATGCGTTGAGCCTGTGTCTAGTGGCTCATAAAACCATGTTATGTTCCACTTTTAATGCCATAATTTGATCACGTCTGATCTGGAGAATAGCCCAACAGCCTTGAAAAGGGCTTGACATACAATTAAATGGAATCTTTTCCAATCAAATGGTATCTTGAGGGAACCTTGTGGATTTACAATGGGTGTCTTGTTAGTTTTGAATCTTGCTTTATGGTATTTTGTAAAAATGTAATGGATCAGTTTGATCATGTATTTGTCTATGAATGTTCTGAGCCTGGGCCTCATCATCTTCCTCTTAGAGCTAAGTGTATGTCCACTTTTAATGCCATAAAATTGCTTTTGGGACGCCTTAGTATGATATAAGAGTTGCGTGCCCAATTTTCCATAGATACTGGGATGTGTAAAAAAATTAAAAGGAAATAGCATTGCTATTTGCATTCTGCCCATAATAGTTGATAAAATTTGGAAATATATGTTGAACACCTTCTCTTATGCACAGATATTTCTGGATATGGCGGTGTTGGTGGATGCACAAGGGGACTTACTTGACAACATAGAAACCCAGGTATTTTATCAGAATCTCAAAGCATGAGGTCCCCATGAATCTCTCAAAATTATTAAACAGAAAAAGAAGACATGATTTTGAAATATGACGACTGCTACTTTTGCATCATACTTCGGCAAATGATAACGTAATTTGTCTTTAATTTCTTTCTCCAGGTATCGAGTGCAGTAGATCATGTACATCAAGGGAATACTGCTCTTCAGAAGGCGAAGAAGCTACAGAAGAGTTCCAGGAAATGGATGTGCATTGCGATCCTCATCCTTCTCATCATTGTTATAATCATTGTGGTGGCCGTGCTCAAGCCGTGGAATAGCAACCAGGGTGCATAGCTCTAGTAATTTGTAATTTGTAAGTATAGTGTAATACAACTGACACCTCCGGGACTCCAGCAAATCACGTGAATAATTTGCGGTTCATTTTACAAACGTGGTTTCTAGCACTTTTATTATCATATGATAATGAGTGTGCATGTAACACTATTAATTTGAAGAAACTGTCACTATATTCTTTAATATACATAAAATAAAAAACTTTCAATCAATTTTTTGTTTTCGTTCACTGTCTAACCGAGTTATTCTGATCATCGCATGGAGTAGTTATTTTTTTTTTTTTTTTTTTTTTTTTTAAGAAGAACAAACTTTAGAGAGCATCCTCTAAGGATCTCTAAATTTCTACAATCATACATTTAAATTTTATCAAATCATAGCAAGCCAGATACAAGTATTACTCTTATCACGACCAATGTCACCCAGTTCATCTGCCATCATGTCTGCTTCTCTATGAACATGCCTTAGTTGATTAACTTGCAAAATTAGCACGAGTTCCTTGATGTTTCAACTTCGTCACTTTTGCCACTGTGGTTCAAGAATCCAAGCAATTCGAGGACAATTTTCAATTTCCGTCATATTCCTTTTAACTCTGTTAGGGCATCAGCTGTTAGTTATTGAATAAGTAGAGGGGCATTAAGGTAAAATCTCATGTAATTCATAGCTTGGATAGTAGTACCAGGATCGACATCGCGCGCCCTCGTCTGGGTTGGTCGCATGTGGGTTGCTCTTCGATTCGCCGGAAAATTGCCGGAGAGTCCCCCCCGGCGAGGCTGCGGTTTCTTCGACGACGTCGTCCTCGATCGTGAATAACAGTGATGATGAGTCTGGGAGCGGTGACGGCGAGAATGATGAGGCTCAAAGCTCGTATAAAGGTCCTTTGGATATGATGAACGCGTTGGAGGAGGTTTTACCTATGAGGTTAGCAGCAGTTCAACTAGATTCATTTAATTTCTTATCTGCAATTTTGTTTTAGTTTTTTTTTAATGATTTTGCTTTTGGGTTTTCTCTAAATCTTATGAAAGAAAACGATTCATTACACAAAATTACAACTTTATTAATCAATCTATACGTTTGTCTTGATTGGTTAAATCAAAAGGTCAAATTCATGTCGTTTTAGAGGATGTTTCTAATTTGGGTTCGTTGTAAATTGTAATTGTTTGCGTAATATGAGCTGGTTTTTTTTTTCTTGTTTGATCTGGAAGTTTTGACTGATGAAATGGTTTTTTGATGCAGGAGATGGATCTCAAAATTCTATCACTACAAATCCAAGTCCTTCACGTGTCTGGCAGAGGCTTCATCTTCTTCCAACATCAAAGACCTTGCAAAACCAGACAAAGCATATGTCAGAAAACGCAGGAACCTACATGTGGGAGAAGAACCGAAGCTTTCTACTGAGAAGCAATGGGAGCGGGATTTCAAAGAGACCCATCTGAACAAGTCGAAGCACATTAGCTTTGGCTGTTAAATTGAGCAGCTGTGCTGAATTACAGGGGATTTTACCTTAATGCCCCTCAACTTATTCAATAACTAACGGCAACAGCTGATGCCCTAACAGAGCTCAAAGGAATCTGATGGAAATTGAAAATTGTCCTCAAATTGCTTGGATTCTTAAACCACAGTGGCAAAAGTGACGAAATTGAAACCATAGGGACCTTAGTGGTAAAAGTTGGAAACCACAGGAACTATAAGTGTCGTTTTGCCTAAATTATAAGCCTCTAGACTATAATCTTTATCATTTAGATGAATAATCTGTTTCCCGAACTGCACTGGTGAGTGTTGTAGTGAGGCCAAATCCAAATGGGAGGAGAGGATCATAATGCCCACCTCCAACATTCAAATTTTTTTTTTTGGTCGAAAGGGAAACTTCATTGAAGGGACAGCAACCCAAAAGGAACATAAACAAGGAAAGAAAAAGATAGCAGCCTAGGGGACAGACCCGCCCAGGAGCAAGCAGAAAAAAAACAGAGACATGCTAGATATGAAGAAAACTGAAAGTAACAGAAACTAGAGGGCCACAAACTAGGACGTCACCAAAGGAGCACGTCAGCCTCTAGCTAAAAGGAGATTAACATGGAGGGCAAGGCAGACCATTCGATTGAAGAACAAACACAAGGGAAGAAGGGGGTCTGTCAAGCCAAACCTTATCGCACTTCGTCCTCCTTGCAATAGCTGCAACAGCGTCAGCGGCCCTATTGGCCCGGCGAGAAGTCCATCGCCAATCACAAGAGATAAAATTGTTGCAGCATCTTCTAATGGCAGAGAGGATGGGGTAGATGGACCAAATTCCTTTACGAATTTTCCCCCTTGCGCAATTCACAAGCACTTGGGAGTCTGATTCAATGACAACGTTTGCTAGACCGATCTCAGCCACAAGTGATAGACCAGCAAGAGCTGCGTGAGCTTCAGCTTCAAGAACTGAATTTGCAATTTTACAAGCAGCAAAACCACCCATGAAAGCACCACCAGAATTTCGAATTACCCCTCCAAGATCAGCATCAGGATGAGTCGTTGTCCAACTAGCATCCACATTTAACTTGCTCCAAGTAGCAGGCGGGGGGGACCAAACATCATCAAATGTAAAGGTGGTACCAGGTTGGTGCACGGGATGAGAAACATCCTTCAACAAATCAAAGTCAGAGATCATGCATTTTATTTTATATGAGACAATGTATGTTTTGGACACAAGGGACTCTCATCAAAGATCTTCGCACAACGACTACGCCAAATGCCCCAACAAGTGTAGGCCAGGGAGCTGATTAACAGTTTTGAACCAAGTGCGAGAAAGCTTGCCAGTAAAACCAGTCACCTAATAAAAAATCAGCTACTCCTTGGCCTTCGGTTCCTGGAAGCCAAGCTGCAACAAGAGCATTAATCGAAGCAGCATAGGGTTGAATCGCAATAAGATGGCCGGAGATGACGATAACAACGCATTTCACAGCACCACAAAGACTAGTGATGGTGCTCGGGCCAGGGTCGGGGATTGTCAAATTTAAGCTGTCACCAAATGTCTCCGCATATGGATGTTCTCCGACTACGACGTCAATGGCATACGAGAAATCATTTCACTTCGCAAAGTCAGCATCAGGATTCTCCTCGTAGACTAACTTGGGATTTTGGATCCACTGTACTTGCAGGTTTTTGAAGCTTGAGCCAGCAGCCTTTCAAGCATTTCATGGGTTTTGATATGCTTATATTGCTGTATACAGATTTGTAAGAGATGCTGGGAGGATTGATTTGGATGGAATCGTTGAGAGGCTGGCTGTGCTTTTGGTTGAAGGAGTGCAAGGGTTTGGAGGGGGTCTGAGGCGCATTGACTCATGACTAAGTGGTGTCACTCAGTTTACTACAACAGAAAAGCCATTCCATGGCACCTTAAAAACACTGAAAGGCAGGCTTAGTGATTGGATAGTTCATAAACTTGATTTGTAAACTTGCAAATACTTGTTAATGCTGAAGTGTTGCGACACAGATGCGACCTTCTGATGTTTTCATGTGAACCTTCAACCTTCTATTAACCATTATTAGAGCACTCCTTATGCATATGCAATCAAATCCAATTTCAAGTGCATATGAGATGAGCAAGTCAGCTTAGCTTGCATAAAGAAATTCTAGAGATACCAAATATCAGATGTACTAGCAAGAAGAAAGCAGTTCTATTGATCAAGAACTCTTTACGATTCTATATACCCAAAAGAAAAAATAAATCTAACTACCTGAGCAGTTTACTTTGATTATGCATCACATACCAATACAAATAAATTAGAAACGATATGCATCACAAACCCACAAAAGTAAAACAGAAATTATATGTACCATCAGTGGCAGATCCAGAAATATTGTGCCAAGGGGTCATGGTATAAAATTTCCCAAATTTTTTTGTAGATGAGCTCAACACTGAAAAATTAAATGATGGTATTTTCATTTGTATTTTATGGTTAAAACAACATTATAAGCTACAACATCATAATTCATGGTACTTCCATTCATAATTCATAAAAATCAATAATTCCATCTCAATCATCATAATTCATGGGGTTTCGAATCTTTGCCTACATGACTGGAGATGGAAGAGCTCAACCAACTAAGCTATACCTTAATGGCTAAAGTTGTTTCTTTGTTTTATAATTTGGAAATTTTTATTACATTTTTTTAAATTAAAAAAAATTAAGTTTTAAAGTTGTTTCTTTGTTTTGTAATTTTAAGTATTCGTGTTTTTTTTTTCTCAAAGAAAAAACCCATGTACGTTTTGCAGCCATTCTTTATATTGTACCAACTGAAACTTCAATGGAGGGATCTTCATCAGAAGGTACATTTTTCAGCAAAATAAATATGATCAAATGGGTCGTACTCAATTAAAAATAAAAACTCTTATTTCTAAATAAGAGTGAGATTATGTTGGGTGAATTTTTAATTTCCTTATTACACTTTTTATCTAACATAATTTTTTCTTTCCAATTTGATTGGAGTTTCTAAGGCTTTGCATATTTTCCTTTGCAAACTCATATCATTTGAGAGGACCATCGTACTGCCAATTGAGGTGCTGGCTTTGCTTTGTCTCAGTTGCTTCATGTTTTGCCAGCAACAAAGTGAGAAGCTTTTATGATATTTGCATTTTGCTACAGAGCGTGGCTTAATAATTTTCGTGGGCTGTCTGGCTTGGGATTTTTTCTTTGTTGGCAAACTTTGAAGCACAGAACGTGGGTGTGAATCATCAGCTTTTGTAAGCTTTCTGGCACTCTATAATTTCTGCATCTCCTTTAATATATTTTCTTCTGTTTGTGCCAATGGGTGAGACTAAAACAGAGTTATTGATTTTCTCCATTTGCAGCACGTTTTGCCACCTGTTCTTTCTCCAATTTGCAGATTTGGAATTTTACTCTGCTGAAGGTGGGTTGGGCATGTAACAAAGCGTCTGGTCTGTTGATGTTTTCTGCTTTTGGTACTCAAGAACACTCGCAAGGTCTTCTCTGAGTACCACAATGTGCCTATGGACACTCACAAGGTGTTCAAAGCACTTGTATAGTGGGGTTCTTGCAGAAGCCCATCTGTAATTCACAACAGAGAGGTCCTTGTGAGAGCTCTCTTTGTGTAAGTAGCACAATTATTGCCAATTTGGGAGGATTTGTTCACATTTTTCCACTGCTGAGGTCTCTGTTGATATGATACACTTCTTGATATCAAACATTAATAAAAATCAATAATGTGATGAAGTTTCTGTATATTTCTTCCATATCAACGTTTGTACAGGATGTATACATATATGGGTGATACAAGGAACTATTCTAGGAAGCTATTCTAGGCTATTAAGTAATTGAGGCTATGATTGAGGTTGACCCACAATATGTGAAGTCCAATACAAATAAGGAAAATGTAATCCCTACAATCAAGTCATTTTATTCTCAACAAACATGGAGGAAGTTCAGGCTTCTGTACAATGGCCTCACATACATATTTTTTGCCTGCAAGTCAGTTGTACATAAAAGGATACTCAAATGAATTTGTTTATACCTTCTCAATGGTATTGTGACAGAGCTTCGTATCTCTTTTGCTTGCTTCTGTTCTTTGGATTTCTGCAGCAGTTCAGTATTTCTTTTTCTCTTCTGTCTTCTTTGCCTCCTTTGGTCCCTTTTTATAGACCCAGAAGAACTGATAGAGTAGAGCCAGTTATGGCCTCACGTACTGCGTGGGTGGGAGTAACTTCCCATTTTCAGTCACCCCCTCAACTCCACACTTCAAAGTCACGTACATGAAACTGTTTCTGCTTTCAATATATTAATATTTCCTTGTAAAAATATCAATATTAATTCATTTGGGCCTAAACCAATTTAGCAACAAGTCCACAGAACCATTTTAGCTATGGGCCCAACTTCTTTAAACTTGGGCCAATATTTAATTTGCTGTCAATGAATTTTTTATTTCAACAAAGCTACAACATCATAATTCATGATACTTCCATTCATAATTCATAAAAATCAATAATTCCATCCCAATCATCATAATTCATGAGATTTCGAATCTTTGCCCACATGACTGGAGATGGAAGAGCTCAATCAACTAAGCTATACCTTAATGGCTAAAGTTGTTTCTTTGTTTTATAATTTGGAAATTTTTATTACATTTTTTTTAAATTAAAAAAAATTAAGTTTTAAAGTTGTTTCTTTGTTTTGTAATTTTACGTGTTCGTGTTTTTTTTTCTCAAAGAAAAAACCCATGTACGTTTTGCAGCCATTCTTTATATTGTACCAACTGAAACTTCAATGCAGGGATCTTCATCAGAAGGTACATTTTTCAGCAAAACAAATATGATCAAATGCTTGCTATATATGGAATGAATTGACAACATTTGCGTTTATATTTGCCTCAGCCGCTTATGGAAACATCAGTTTCATTTTATATGATTCAATTCAAACACAAAAGTGAAAATCAACTGACTGAATATCTTCCCATATTGTATTGCATATGTATCAAAAGCAAGCGCTGAGCTATTGATGAAATGTAAGTCCAACAAGAAACAAAGAATGTTGACATTGACAAGTTCTTCACTGGGCTCAAATTAATGTTTTTGCAAATTCCATTGAAATATTCTTTCCTCCCACAAAGAAATTGCAATGGTTACAGTTAGAAAAGGTTACCAAATGGAATTGGCAGTATTAAGATAAAAAGAATCCTTTAAAAAATGCAGCAGATTTGAACAAGAGTCCAACTGAGGACAAGGATTATTAAAAGCTTTGATGCACAGCCTTTTTTTATATAATTTGAAGAATTCACTAGTAGAAATTACAAGAATATAAAAAAAATACATCAATCAATTATGCAGCAGAGTCCAACACAAATTCACAATGTTCTCTCAGGAAAACCAAAAAAGGCTCTGAGTTTCCAAGTATCAAATTGAAAAAAATCAATTGAAAAGGAAGTTCAGGAACACGGGATTCAACTAACCTCTATTGAGCCAAAGAGTGAGGGGCTTCTTGCTAGGCTCCTTGCTCCTCCTAGCTTTCACATCCACATCAACATACTGCTTGAACCCAACATTTGGCTGATTAGGCAACCTCACCACCAGATCTGGTGAATAGGACCAAAGAAACCAACCACTATTGAGACAGAATGAAGGGCTTCTTTGTCAGTGTCTGTTTCTGCTTCAACGAAGTAGTAAAACAAAGCACCTCCAGGCATAAATATCCACATCAACAAACCCAGCATACCTTACCACACAAACCCAACTATTCGTTCAGAAGGCAGTCTAATTCTAATTATAAAATCCTCAAAAGGGAATCCCTCCTCAACGGGGAACTCATAAATATGCATACCTGGATATGTGTGTGTGTGTGTGTGTGTGTGTGTGTGCGTATATATATATATATATATAGAGAGAGAGAGAGAGAGAGAGAGAGAGAGAGAGAGATTACATAAGGAAGTGCAGACCAAAGTTGCAGAATACTGCTGGGATAGTAATTCTGGTTTACTTTGTAATCTTGCTGAGAGAGGGCTTGGGATGTAGTACGCATAGTAATAACAATATGCACTTGGCGTCAATAGTCAATACCATAGGGGCTTCTCTCACTCTTATTCATGCAAGAAAGAATCTGTGTCACCAACATAGCCCTCTTCTTTCATTATTGCTGTCCAATACTTTAAAGTTGCCATGATTTCATAGCATTTGGATGAGACTTTTCCCCTGCAACAAATAAATTTGTTCTCTGTCCCACTACAATCCAACTACATCCGTGAACCTTTGCCACACCTTGTTTTTTTTTCTCTTCCTCAAAGAGCAAGCCTCATTCCAGTTTCCTGATACAGAATGTATATTAGAAGGCAAGATATCTGATGAAGAATTTTGCAGTTCTAAACACCAGTTTTGAAAAGTTATAAAACAAGAAACTCACAACACATGACTGCTTCAAAATGAAAACACATTCCATAAGAAATACTTAAACTAGTTTTCACACTAAAAATAGTAGAATTTCTGCTTCTCTACAAAATTTATGTTCATTTGAAGATGCAAATTAAATTCACTCAGATTTTTTTTCCACTGGATGAAAAGCAGGATCTAGTTTGCCTTCAGTAATTAAGTCAGTTATCATTTTTGCTGTTGAATCATCTGCACAGAAACCCTTGGTCATCATTTCTTGAATAAGTTCTTGTGCCCTTGATAGCTCATCATTACGGAGAAATCCCTGGATGATTGTGTTGTAGGTAACAGTATCTGGGGAACAGCCTTTCTCTTCCATTCCTCTAAGCAATACTTCTGCTTCACTAAATAGGCCCTTAGTAGAAAGAGCAATTATCAGTATTGTATAGGTCTTGACATCCGGTTGAAGTCCTTTTGAAGGGAAACTGCGAAAGAGATCCCTTGCACATTCAATTCTTCTTGCTGTGCATAAACCATTGATAAGAATATTGTAGAGACTGATACCAAAATCCAAGCTACTCCCTTCCAACTCTCCAAACAATTTCAAAGCCATATCAATCTGGCGGTTTCTACAGAGTCCGTCCAGTAAAACACTATAAGTATGAATATTTGGAAGTGGACCACCAACTTTCATTTTTGAGAACATGTTTTGCGCATCATCTATTCTTCCCTCTTTGCAAAAGCCGCCAATAAGTGTTGTATAAGTAACAGTATCTGGAACCATTCCCTTACGAGACATTTCCTCAAACAACAACATTGCTTTCTTCATTCTTCTTTCATTGCAATATCCATTTATCAGTATACTATAACTAAAAACATCAACAATAGAACCCTTCTTAAGCATTAGATCAAAAATGCGTTTTGCTTTATCCATATCTCCTTGCAAGCAATAACCCTCCATGAGCGAATTGTAAGTAACAGTATTAGGTTCCATACCTCTAGCAGTCATAATATCAATTACTTGATTAGCTTCCTTCAACTTGCCCTCCTTACACAAACAGTCAACAAGGGCACTGAAGGTTCGAACATTTGGAGAGATACCGTTACTGTTCATCTCTTTGAAGAACCATGACGCTTCCTTCCACTGACCTAATCTGCATAAACCCTGAAACAAAGATGTATAGGTGACGATGTTTGGTGGAATACCCTTACTTTTCATTTCTGAGAAGAGATTGAATGCCTCATCAACAAGCTTGTCCTTACAAAGGCTGTCAATTATTGTGCTGTAGACAACTACATTAGGTTTACAGTCATTTTTTTCCATCATCCGAAGCATTTGAATAGCCCTGTCATTTTGACCTTGTTTGCATGAGGCAGCTATTAACGTACCAAAAGTAATAACATTGGGCTTACATCCTTCTCCAAAGGCTGCCATTTTGTGGACAAGTGAAGCGGCTTCATTAACTCTATTATCATGGCCAAGGCCCCTTATCAAAATGTTGAGGGTGGTGACATCTGGTTGAAGCCCCAATTTAAAGAACAGTGTCAAGACTGAAAAACTGCCGCCCATTTGGTTTGAACGACAAAAACAATTCACGATAATGTTTAAAGTAAAGGCATCAGGAACAAGTCCCATTCCCAACAGAGTAATTTGCTTATACCAAGATATGGCTACCGAATAATGCTCTAATTTTGCAACTTGACCCAATAATTGAGTGAAGCGGACAATAGAAGGTCGAGGACGCTGTTTAAGCATCTTTTTGAACATATTTGATGCCTCCTCGAGATTAGTGACATCAAATGGGTGTTGGGGGTCTCTAGATTTAGATTTGCTAGGGTTTGAGGACTGAGAAGAACCATGAAATAAAGCCAAGTAATTATTGTTGGAGAAAAAAACCCTAGACCTAGATTGCAGTTGCAGACAAGGATTACCTCTGTGTCGTCGATTGCAATAAGAAGAAGCAGATCTCCGCAACATAATCATCATGATCATCTGCACTGTCTCCAAGTCTGTCTGAGCCAGAAAACGTTCAAAGATGGTTGGGAAGGAAATATAAAAACAGATGCAAGGCTTGGCAGTTGGAGAGAAACTCAAACTCACCCGAAATCACTAATCTTGAGGACGCGTTGAATTTGTTCAATTCGATGCTTCAAACGCGTCCTCTGCCTTCAATTGTCGATTTCAATCCATTATTGGGTCAAGTTGCGAAATTGAAACATTATTCTGCTGCAATCTCTTTGTGTAAGCAAAAGGAGCTGTTGCCAATTGTTCCTTCCTAATGTCTCTACTCTAAACGTTATGATTAGCTGGGCCAAATGGGCCGTAGCTTATCGGTCTTGGCAAACACAATTAGTGGACTTTGTAGCAAGGGCCGAATAAGTGAAGCAGAAAACTTACTTACACTAATGAAGGAGAGGGGTTGTTGTCCAAATGGTTGCACCTACAACACAATTATCCGAGGGTGTATCAATAATAAAGAGACATCAAGGGCAATCGGACTTGTTCAAGAAATGGTAGAGAGGGGTTTCTCTGCGGATGATTCAACCATGAAATGGATAGTTGATTTATTGTCTAAGGATAAACTAGATCCTGAATTGGTTGAACGTAATTGGTATTTTCAATTATTTGACACAATGCTTAAACCCTAAGAATCACTCCATATAAAAGCTAGCTGTGCTTCAGAAATTCCAATTTCTTTTCCTTCATTTTTCTTATTACAAATTGACTATCTTTTTATATATTAAAGTTGTATAGTGTGCTTTAGCAATCTTAATTATTTCCTCGTTATGTTTATATGAGTAAGTTCTTATAAGAGTCTTGACCTTTGCCAGTTGATTTTGAGATGGATGCCTAGATTCTTTATAGAATAAGAGCATGCTCACCCACATTTGTTAGGCCGAGTGGCCACACGTGCTGCTGTCACCCAATATAAGTATAAGTTGTCCATGTGTTTGGCTCATAAAAAGGTATCTTATTGATGTTGTGGTGAAATGAATGTTATATAATGTGAATTTGCTTCATTTCTATTTTAGGTGTTGAAAACAATTTTAATTTTGCATCGTTTTGATGATACCCACTGAGTGTAGAGAGAAATATCTCACTTTGAAAATGTGAGGTCTTGCATAATGGCTTATAAGCATTTGGGCTATTCTTTCCATTGCCAATGGGTTTTGGGATGGATGCCTAGATGCCTTCATGGTATTAGAGCATACTATTCACATGATGTGTCTAACGGTCACGCATACTCTCACATCACCCATTATGAATTGTCCATTGTTAAGGTTTAAGTAACTCAACATGTGCAGTTGCGCATTGAGAAAATGTGAGATCTTGCATAGTGGCTTATAAAGGGGTTGAGCTACTTTTCCATTGGCAATTGATTTTGGAATGGATGCCTAGATTCCTTGAAGAGAAGAGAGACATAAGGAGTGAGCCATCATAACTGATACATATTCAACTATTTTTTCGACAATTTTTTTAAACTAGTGAAACCAAAACTCTTATACCAATATTTCAATGTAATGATTGAATGGAGGGTGTCTTACTTGGCCTCGATCATCTGTCTAAACTTATTTCCACTGTGCTTTAATGTTGCAGTTTGCTTAATACATCACATGGTTTCTCATTCTCATTCCGATTGGTCCTATCATTATCTTTAACACGACATGTTCTTTATACTCCCTCTCTCCCTCTTTATTTTGAATTTCTTTTCTTTTCCTGTTTGGTGTTTAAGTAGTATAGGCCTGTTGCAGGCGCATACAAATGATTAATACGTGAAACAGAGTTTTAGCAGATGAAGAATGTTCTTATTTTGTTGTTGCTATGTGTCTGATTTGTTCGTTTGTTTGTTTTTTCCATGAATTCACCACTATATTATCACGCGTAATAGGTAAAGGCCTCTCTATACTCCTTATGTATATGTATATAGTGGTTTCATTTGTTCTTTCAAGTATTTGGTGCCTTTTTTTTTATATTTGGGATCTCTACCTGAATTAATCATTTGTAGATTGCCAATTACTTGACTTGCATTGAGATGTTTGGCAAAGGATTCGCATGGGTGGTGCAAGTAACGCATACATCTGCATGTGGGTGTCATACTAGATTTGAATGAGGTGCAAGCGGAATATATGTATGTCATGCTTATTAGAATAAGGAACCAAGTGCTAAAGGATGCTCATGCTTATTAATCAAATGATCGTTTTTAACGCTTCCAAAAAAGGGGTTTTTGATAACCGTACGCACTTCTAACAACATTCGACAGAACAACTTAGAGCACTTCCAGCAGTGCAGGCAACACTGGCGGGGGTGGGGGGGGGGGGGGGGGGGGGGGGGGGGGGGGCAGGAGGAGGTGGGGGGCCACCAGACTGGGCTGGCTCGAGGTGGAGTTTAGCCCGAGCGTGAGCCTGAGGGCTGGGTGATGTCATCGTTGATGCCAGCCTGGCGTCAGCACTTGCTGTTTGAATTTTTGTTAACATTGGCGCGTGCAATGCTTAAAAAAAAATTGCACGCTTGCACTACAGTAGTTGCCAACGGCTAGCTTCCACGTGTCAGCGTCTAGGCTCTTCGATCTGATTTTTTCCTCCAATCCAACAGCAGCCAATTTTTCTGCAATAAAAAAATGAAAAAAAGTAGAAATTTTTTATAAAAAAATACCAAAAATTACTAATTTTTTTTTTCTATAAATACCAACCAATATTCTTCACTTTTAACACCAAAATTTTATCCGAAAATTTTATCTGATTATGAGATATGAATAGTATTGACACGTAGGAACCCAAAAATCTTTCCCATATGAGGTGCAAGAATGTTCAATTTTGTTTGTTTGTTTATTTTTTGAAAAGGCTATAAGGGCAGAACTTAATGCACGCTCGGATGAAGGCTAGGAGGAGAGAAGCCCCTATGGTATTGACTACACGGAAGGATAAATAAAGTACCAATGGAAGTTGTTGTTTTAATCAATACAGATTGGTAAAAATAAAGGAAACAGAAAGATGTGCCATGAAATTAGTAATGTTGAAAATGATGCCAGAAAACTGTAAATGTTATTCTTTTGGTGATTTATTGTGCCTTTAGACTATAATCTTTATTATTTAGATAAATAATCTGTTTCGTCCAAAGTTAGATGAGCCGGATCCTTATTGAAGAGTAGCTAAAATGTCAGGCTTAATAAGGAAATATGAGTAGCTAACTGATTTCCTAGTTGGCATTGGTCGGTGTTGTAGTGAGGCCAAATCCAAAGGGGAAGAGAGGGTCATAATGCGCATCTCCAACATTCATAGGTAGCTGATCAACAGTTTTAAACCAAGTGCGAGAAAGCTTGCCGGTGAAACCATAGTCACCAAATAAAACATCAGCTACTCCTTGGCCTTCAGTTCCCGGAAGCGAAGCTGCAACAAGTACATCAATCGAAGCGACATAGGGCTGGATCACAACAGGACGGCCAGAGAGTGGTCGGGCCAGGGTCAGGGATTGTCAAATTTAAGCTATAACCATATGTCTCGGCATATGGATGTTCTCCAACTACAACAATGGCATACGAGAAATTATATGACTTTACAAATTCAGTGTCAAGATTCGCCTTGTACACAAGTTGGGTTTTTGGATCCACTATGTTTTTTATGGCAATGAGAATACTGGTACCTGTTGAGGAAAAATAAGTTTCATATAAGATTTTTAGTAGTTCGCATGCCTTGTAAGGAAACATGTCCGTGATCCTTTTTTTTTAAAATAGGTTTTGTTGGAGCATTTTGAAGCATTATGGCTCATTTGGGAGTGATTATGGATATGCCAAAATCACTTACGTGGGAGGTGCTCCTCCATCACTTTAAGTGATTTTAAGTTATTATTGTTTGGGAACACTCAACAATGTCACCTCATGATTAGTGGTATCAAACAGGCCATGCCGGGCCGACCCGTCTCATTTAAACTCGTGCTTTTAACATTTTCGTGCCATGCTGTGCTGGGCCATTTAATTTATCAGGTCGTGCCATGCTAGACCATTTAGTAAAATCATTGATCCCAGCCCGGCCCGAAGCCCATGTCCATATTGAAACGGGCCAGGCCAGACTCGTGCCGTGCTCGTGCTCGTGCTTGTGCTCGTGCCATAATCGGGACCAAGAACTAACCTATTCAATTTGAATTTTTTTTCACTTGATTTTTTTTTGCCCACTAGATAATTCAAATTATAAACATTAAAAATATAATTAGAGGCAAGAAATGATGAACTACTTGAAAACATTAATCAATCAAACATCCAAACAATATAAAAGGACGAAGGGCAAAAAGTGTCCAACTCCACAAAGTCCACTTCAACTTTTCATCTTTAAACAACATATTATTTTATATGTGAAGAAATGTCTTGCTTTGATTATAAGAGAAGCGTATGTGTCACATGTATTGATTAGATATCAAGTCCAATGTTGTTTAATTAATTTGTAGTTGATATGTTTAATTAATTAAGGACCTAAGTAATTTTCCTAAAATGAAAGACATCAAATATAGGTTTATGATTTAAAAAAAAACATATAAACAATGACATTAGATGTCAAATTATTGCATTTTGAATTTTGAGAAGAAAAAAAAAGTTAAGTGGGCCGGGCTTGGGCTCATGCCGTGCTTGAAGCGGGCTCAGGCCAAGCCCGGCCCATGTCAGGCTATGGGCTGGCCCAATCCATTAGACTTATTTTTTTATCCCGGCTTGGCCCAAGTTTTAGTACCGTGCCGAGCACGGCCCATTAATATTCGTGCTCGTGTTGTGCCGTACCTCATTTAAACGGGATGGGCTCATGCTGTGCTGGGCCGGCACGTCCCGTTTGACAGCTCTACCTCCAAACCAATGTCTCACAGTATGAGAAACTCATTCCTATCCACCCTTATTCTTACGATCCCATCTGTTTCAACCTTTCTCTATACCTTCTTCGGACTCAACTTTTTTGAAAACCTCAAGCACATGTAAACTTGGCAACAATGACTCAGGAAGAATCTTT